TCTATTGATGGGCATTGGGTCATTTCCAGTCTTCTGCTACTACAAAAATGAAATAATTATCTTTTTACATACACTGTAGTGTACATGTATCATTACATCAGATCACTTTTAAATTGAGAAGGGAACGATTAAATTCTGTTTTGGTGAGGGGGCAAATTAATATTTTGGTGTTGTAAACGCTCTTATGTGAATAGTTAATTTCTAAAATCTTTGAATTATAAGTTACCAGTTTCTAAGTTGTAATCTCATTTAAACATAAAACAGTATAACATTTAAAATGTTTTGGTTCTTCATAAAACTAATCACTATTATAATTCACAGGAAAATTACTGGTTACTTCTATGATTTATTAAACCCTGTCATAGCTATTAAAACGGACAGTTTTGATTTAGTCTTTTGTGCTATGAAGAGAAGGAAATGAAAACACCTTCACGTTGCCAGAACAAAGTCAACTTTTTATTGTTTGCTATTCACCAGTTTATAAAATAAATCTAGTAGGATGTATAAATGTACATATACTTTGGGTGTGTTTAGTAATAAAACACATGTATCTTAAATCTTTGAGCTACTATCCACATAAGGCTGGAGGAAATTCTTTTATTATTTCAAGTATTACCTAGAATAATTAATGTAGCTATCAAATACTTATGTTGTAGATTATCCAGCCCTATTCTATTTCTCCTGCTGAGTTTACATTTTGACTGCCTCTTTGTATCCATGCTATAAGGGGTGTAGGGACATGTGATAGTAAAAGTCTTCTACCTCATATGAGTATTTTTGTCCTCATATGACCTCATTATTGGTTTTTATACCTGGCCCTCTAAGTCTTTTATGTAAGTTAATTATACTTAACTTTACAGATGATAGGAAATTTGTAAGATTTAAATTTCTTACGCTCATAAGTAACTTCTGCTGTGTTCCATTTAGCACAGTGCCTTGGTAACCTAGCCAAGGATTTTATGCCTCCTAGTAGTTCTCGTCAGATCAGGAGCTGGAAGAATGAGGCCTACTTTTGACCAAATATAGGTCAAAAAGAACTGATTTTTGATAGGAAATTTAGGATGGGAGGAGGCCTTGGAATCGCTCTGCAATCAATATGGAGCCTCAATTTCTTCAGGTAACAAAAGGCTGCACATAGATTTTGTTTTAGTGATAAAAATAACATTGTTCAAGTAGGAAATACGTTTATGAAAACTAGTATATGCTTTTTGACTATACATGCTTTCTCTTATCTAGCATTGCCATTTACAGAGTTAAATTTAATAAATTTGTTTTTAACAAAAGGTACTCATTAAGGTACTTGGGTAAATATGAAGGCATGAAAATGGAAGAAAAAATGGGCATTGGTTTTTCTTTTTTGGGGGGGTGGAGAGAGGGAAGGGGGGAGAGAGAGAGAGAGAGAGAGCGGCCATTGGTTTTTGTTACTTTTTATAGTATATTTAAGGCTGCAGTATATTTGTTTTTTTATTTTTTAAAATATATTTTATTGATTTTTTACAGAGAGGAAGGGAGAGGGATAGAGAGTTTGAAACATCGATGAGAGAGAAACATTGATCAGCTGCCTCCTGCACACCTCCCACTGGGGATGTGCCTGCAACCAAGGTACATGCCCTTGACTGGAATCGAACCCGGGACCCCTCAGTCCACAGGCTGACACTCTATCCACTGAGCCAAACCGATCAGGGCAGGCTGCAGTATATTTAGAATTGATCATTTATTTTTGTCTACTAAATAGTAAAAGGATTGATGATTACTAGTGTTTTCTGGAAGATATATTGCTGTTACTTTTTTTTAAACTGTAGTGAGTAAAGCTAAATATAAGCTTTCAGAGCTGTATTAATACATATGTTAAATTAAGCAGGATTTAATTTGATTAATACTGAAATCATTATCATCATCTTTAAAACTTTCTGTGTACTGATTCCCACATTTTCTTCTTTCTTATACCTATTTTTCTTTTATTCCCGAGCTTGTGTTTTCTTTTTACAAGTTCTTTTAGTATCCTCTGACATTTTTTGTAACTTTTTTCAAAATACCTTATAATTATAGTAGAGACCTGGTGCACAAAATTCGTGCAGGGGGGTGGGGAAGAATGTCCCTCAACCCGGCCTGCACCTCTCCAATCTGGGACCCCTCAGGGAATGTCTGACTGCCAGTCGGACATCCCTCTTACAATCTGGGACCGCTGGCTCCCAACTGCTCGCCTGCATGCCTGACTGATTTCAACCCGGCCTGCACCTCTCCAATCTGGGACCCCTCAGGGAATGTCTGACTGCCAGTCGGACATCCCTCTTACAATCTGGGACCGCTGGCTCCCAACCACTCGCCTGCCTGCCTGCTTGATTGCCCCCAGACTGCTCCCCTGCCTGCGGAGCCGCAGAACCCCCAGACCTCACTGTGTGGAGCGGCCGCCGGGCCCCTCCCCTGCTGTGCGCGTGGCCATCTTGTGACAACCTCGTGCTACACCACCTAGACTTTTATTACATAGGATAATATTGCTGTAATTCTGAGGTACTACAGTGAAACTTGAGCATTCTAGTAGTTAGCATTTTGGTATAGCTTGGCTTCTCAAACGTCCACATAAGCAAAGGAACCAGAAAAAGATGCTAAGACCTTACTGGCAGTGAGTAAGTAGTAGCTCCGAAGCATTGAACAAAAGATATAGTCAGAAGAGCAAAAGATCTGAAGGTTAATCCAAAACACTGTTCTCTACTGGTTTGTCACATGTAAGGAAAGGAGTACTCAGACTGGCTGGTGGTCTCATAGGGCCATGTTTTTGTGAAAACTGGGAAGTATGGAAGAAGAGATAAGAAAGGAGAAAAGTGACAGGGAGGAAAGGGGCTACAGCAGCCTTCATTATTGGTGCAGGTATGGTTATTAGAAATAGCAATAAGATCGTTAAGTAGCCCATATTCTGACAGGCAAAAGGGTACCAGTGATAGATCAACTGTATTCTCCCATTAGCCAAAAATTAACTTGATGCTGTTGAAGGCTTACAGTAGTTCTCAACCTTCCTAATGCTGCGACCCTTTAATACAATTCCTCATGTTGTGATGACCCCCAATTTCATTGTTACAAATTGAACATAATTAAAGCATAGTGATTAATCACAAAAACAATATGTAATTATATATGTGTTTTCCGATGGTCTTAGGCGACCCCTGCGAAAGGATCGTTCGACCCCCAGGTTGAGAACTGCTGGCTTAGAGTATCTCTAATGGGTGAAGGTAAATGGTATTGCCCATAGCAGGAGATTAGGGAAAGGAAAAATAGTGACTATACTAGAGTTCGGGGAGTCTTAGGTGGGAGATCAGTGGACATGGAAGGAGGTAGAATGTGGGAAATGGGTACAGATGGGTACATCTCAGTAGCTCCTTGGGGAAGCACTCTGAATATGTCAATATATGTCAGTATTTTAGAAGGGCATTGAAGGTATGGTGAAAGCAGTATTCTATACTTCACAAAATCTGTAAGATTTATATCTCTACTATCATATAATTGCTTACTAGTGAGAAATGACATTAAGGAAAATGTTGAATTATGTTTTCTAATACATCAGCTTGTTAATGATGGTTAGAACTCTGATTATTTTCTCTTTAATTTTTTCTTCAATTTTATAATTGAGGGAAAACATTCTTTGAAAAATTCTTTATACTCTGTTTTAAGATGTTGAGAAAGTGTATAGGACACCTTAGATTTGCACTAAAAGTAATTTAAAAAAGAATGTGAAATGTTTAAAGGGCCCATCTTCAGATCCTTAGAAACCCCTACTCTGTAAAATTTCTCAGAGTGACCTTTCTGGTATTTTCTGCCTCCTCTGTATGGATTGCAATCTCCCACCAAGCCATGTGTGTTACTTGTCAGCATGTAGATTTACCGTTGGAGCAGGGTGAATTTGGCAACAGCGGAAGATCTGTAACGCAGGTTATCTTTTGTTTCCGTGGCCTAGGCCAAATTTCCTGCCTTACTTAATTAAGCACTTAAGCATTGTCTTGGGGGCTGGAGTGTTGTACTCTGGATAGGTATAGGTAGTCAATTTAACATTATGGACTTTTTGCTCCCCTTAGAACATTGATGATTATTTCTGTAGGAGAAAAATCAATTAGTGATTGTCGATTCTAGTAAGTTAACCATATCAAACTTGGAGTTGAAACAGGTCAACAAAGTATTGTGGTCCTCCTAAGTATATTGTGAATTGCAGTTAGGCCCTTTTGATAAAGTACTTTTTTTGGTGTGATGCTTATTATGATTTACAATGGGAGAAATAAGCCAGATTATCTTGTTCCTCCTGAGGAAAAATAAGAATAGTTAAGAGCATGGATAATCAATATGCAGTCAAGTAGTAAACTTTATATTCATTATAGTTTTTGTTGGTATTAGTTAGTTACAGATTTCCTGCAAAATTATAGATAGGTACTTGAGTTTTATGAGAACATGCTTAAAAGTTGATTGTCTACTATACTTCATAAGCACTGAGCTAAGTTGCAAATGATATTGACCTGAATCCATCAATTCCTATCCCAAGTAACTTCCATAGCTACCAAAGCCTTTTTCTTTTAAAATTTAAATTTATTGTAATAAAAATAAACTTTAAAAACGGATATGCAACCTGATTAAGAAATAGTCAGGGTGAACTTGATGTAATGGCAGCTAAAGTGTCAGGGGTTAAATTAAATAGGTAATCGTCAGCATTTCAGGTTTCCTTCTGTCTTATTATTTATTTAATATACTCAAAAATCCTGGAACTTTTATCAGAGGCTAACAATGGTAAACCTGTTTTCATACTTTCCCAAAGAGAACTTATAACTGCTTTTCTTTTATGCAATTGTTGGCATTTTTTAAAATCTAAAATTAGTTGAAAATTATAAAGACAGAATAAATTTGCTAAATTAACATCAATGGACTTTATATAGTTATTCTATGTGTGAAGAATTCTTATCCAAAGGATGCTCTTTAATTTTCCTCAACTCCTTCTCCTTTCCTCCCTTTTGTTTTAAAAGAGAAACTGGTAGTCTGGGTAGATTCAAGACTTCGTTAAGAGAAAATGTATTGGGGAGCCCCAAAGAACTGATGAAGTTAAGTGTGCCATCATTAGTGTATGCTGTTCAAAACAACATGGCTTTCCTAGCTCTTAGCAACCTGGACGCAGCAGTGTACCAGGTAAGTGGAATAAATGATAATGGAGAGCAGAATCTTTAAAAATGTTTTTATGGTGAAATTATTTTTATTAACCCTTTATCACATTATCAAATGTTTTTCTCAATAATTCTATTAATGATATCAGAAATAGTGGTGTCAGAGATTAATGTTAAGGTCATTAATTCATTATTTTATTTCTAGGTGACCTACCAATTGAAGATTCCTTGTACTGCTTTATGTACTGTTTTAATGTTGAACCGGACACTCAGCAAAGTACAGTGGATTTCAGTTTTTATGCTGTGTGGTGGAGTTATACTTGTACAGTGGAAACCAGCTCAAGCTACGAAAGTCATGGTAAGAAACAAAATGCTTACCATAACTAAAATAGAAAACTTCCTGTGTCTTATATACTTTAGTCACATTGATGATGAATACAGCACCATTATATTTCTTTGATTGAAAATATTTGCTCTATTTATAGGCTTTTAAAATCCCGTTAGTGTATTACTAAGGATAATGTAATTTATTGGCTTTCTTTGTTTTTAGAGGGGAATATGTATAAATGTTTGAGATGGAAGGTTCTTTAATGTTATGGATGACAAAACTGAAGTCCCAAGAGGTGAAGTAACCTGTAACTAAAATTGTGACTTCTACCAAAGTGTGTATGTTCAGAACTTTTAAGCCTCGTTAAGACATTTTCTCAGAAACACTGGGCAAGGTTTTGTCCATCTAGTTTTCATCTCTCTGTACCCCCAACTTCACAGTTTTTTTATCCCCCTTTTTAAAATCCTTACCTGAGGATATGTATATTGATTTTAGAACGTGAGGAAGGGCTCGGGGGAGAGAAACAATCGATTGCCTATCATGTGTGCTAGACTGGGGATCAAACCCCCAACCTAGGTATGTGCCCTGACTGGGAATAGAACCTGAAACCTTTTTGGTGTATGAAATGGCACTTGAACCAACTAAGCCACCCAGACGGGGCAGTTTTTTATCCTTTTGCATATACTCCCACTGTCAGTCATAGAGATTAAAGGGTAGTGTTTTTACTGATAATTGATAGCTAAAATAGGGCAAAATGTGTACTTTATTTACAACTTTTAGTTTGTTAAGAGTTAAATGTTAAGGTACATACCTGAATTTTTAAAAATATTATACGCTTTAATTGGTTATTTTCTTAAAGAGCTGTAGGAAGTGGAACTCCAGTGAATGACTTTCTACGATGGAAGACTCTTCAACTTTTAATAAATGCAAGTTCTTTTAGGAATTTAGGGCAGCTGGGGATGTAAGGAGAGCCTATAAAAACAGGAAGTCAGTTCCTTTTTAGGTAGTTCCTTTCTAGTCTGGAGGAGATTTCTCCCCCGCCCCCCCCCCAAGAAAATGAGTTTTAGATTAATATTTATTGTCTTGACATGTTTAAACATGCTCATATTCTTGGTGACATTTCAAAACACTGATCAACCATGCACTGCATATTGAACTCAGTTGTAGACTTTCAAAGAAATTTGTTGGGAAATAAGGCCAATATGTAATTAAAAGTTAAATGCGAACTTTAAGTAATACCTCACACCATTAGAAAAGATGTTGGGTCCACCTCACATAGGTAATGTATGTGAAAAGTTTAGTAAACTAAAGCAGAGTTTAGGGCAGCTTATCCTACTTTTGGATCCCTCTAGAGCAGCAATTATCAACGAGTGCCACAAGAATTTTTAAAACATGCAATACCTGACTATTCAGTCAGGGGTACTGACCTCTTTTACCTAAGATTTTGAAATTAAAAACAAAACAAAAAAACAAGACAATGGCCAACACAACCATAGCTGTCTGGTGTGAGTGAATCAAAATATTATTTTGTCAGATCTGCAAAAGTTATGTTTTTTTGGTGTATTTTGGAATTTTAGTAGTTTATGTGTGCCATGAGATGAAAAAGGTTGAAAATCGCTGCTCTAAAAAATCTTTTATGCTTTAAACAGGGTACAGCTTCCTGTAACTGCCTCATTGTTCTTCGTTCTTGTCAGAATAACTCAAATTCCTACTATCTCCCACATAGTCTCTGAATGTTTGAGGACAGTGTTACATTCTTCCTCTCCAAGTCTTTTTTCCTCATTGAGACAACCTTGTGGCTTCTTTCTAGAATTTGGTTTCTAGAGACTTCCCGATTCCTGCCTCCTGCCCCAATACTTCCCTGTATTTCTCTTCTAGATGTATTCATCTGTTACCGTTCCTCATTATGTCCTAAAACTTTACACTATCTCTAGATGTTGACTGAGCAGTGTGAGATGTAACTTGCTAATTAACTTTGTTCTAAATACTAGAGACTTGTTAAATCAAGATTATATTTGTGTTGTTTTTTTTTTTTGGGGGGGTATTCCATTCTATAACTGGTTATAGCTATACGTCTTTATCTCTATTTGTATTATTTCAAGAGTTAGGACTATAGAATAGCCGTGTCTAATATGGCAAATACTTTAAGTAAAACTGTAACACAAATTTTGGGGTTCATTTATTTCGTCTCTTCTCTTGGATGAATTCTATTTATTATTCACTAAAAATAACTTAAAACATTATTATTGCAGGTGGAACAGAATCCATTTTTAGGGTTTGGCGCTATAGCTATTGCTGTATTGTGCTCAGGATTTGCAGGTAAATCATAAAAGCATTTTACTGTTACCCAATTTTAAAAATATCAAGCTTTAAATAGGGATTTAGTTTATCTTGTTTTATTATAACATTTTATTTCCATTAAAGCTTACCTATAGTTTAGTTTATGTCAGCTATTTTTCCAATAAATGCATGGTAGTGTTTAACTCAGTTCAGACCTCAGTCTTTACTCATACTTGCAGTTCTTTAAGAACATACTTGTTCTTGACCATTCTTAGTCCAGCCCAGTATTTGTTTTTCCCTCGTAACTTCAAGTTCTTCCTCTGCTTCAACAGGGAGAAAAAAGGGGTGGGGTGGAGGGTATCAGAACACTTAATACATAAAGTAACAGCCAAAAACGGAGGGACAAGAATCAAAATCACTAACATCAAATAAAGAAATCTGGAATTGTGTAGAGACAGCCATTCTGCACTCAAGAGACAGTATATGAATGTGTAACATAAGAAATAAAATGTGTTTTAGAGACTAAGAGTATATTAGTTGTAGCTATATGACTTTACCTCTATTTGTATTATTTCAAGAGTTTGGACTCTGCTTTTACTTTTGACTAGGAAAGTAGGCTGGATATGGAAGTGAAATATTGATTATAAAAAAAGATGTTTGATGAGAGGGGAATATCTAAATTTGGGAACATACCTAATGATAGCATCATGCTAAATTTTTATTCTTAGTAACGAGCAAATTAGAAACAAAATTGTGTTGCCCCCCACCCCAAATAATATACTATTTGATTTTTTAGCATTACTTTTAACAATTAAATGTTTGTGTCCAACATTCTAGTTAGTTCAATTTCTTAATAAACAGTTGAAGAAATGGTGAGTGGCTTACTGTCCCTCTATACTGGAATAACTGAGCACTCACTAGTTAAGTGGTTTTCCCAGATAGGAAATTCATAGGTGGAAATTATATGTTTTTCCCCATTTTCTGGCTCTTCCCAATATGTTTGTCAAAATCAATCTTGTTTTTCATTAGAATTTTTAGTGGATTAGTACTTCAGTGGCGATTTCTAAATCTAATTCACATGGTATTTATAATTAAAATCTTCAATATCTTTGTTAAACGTGTTCATTTCAAGAGTAAAACTTACAATACTGATTGGGGGTGGATGGGGAGGTGTCATGCGCTCTTTTAGAGTATCTGAAAAAAGCTGTGGTCGTCCCAAACACAGGAAAATGCAGAGTTCTTGGTCCTTCTGACATTGTGTGTGAACGTGGCCTGGGGAGCCTTGCTTTAAAGGCAAATGGCTCCACTCAGCAAGTTCTATTAAAATTTCATTTTGGTTGTGTGACTCACTCTGAAAAAGTCCCAAGTGGTGATTATACAGGTTACTTTGCAAAGCTGGGAATATTCACTAATAGGCAGATTTTATAAGGATGTGATTATGATATTGACTCTAATAGTATAGTTTTCCAGCTGACCAAAGCAAGTCTTCTTATTAGCATTAATAGAGTTTTGTGATGTATCTTACTATAATAATGGCAGAAACTGTTCTTAACAGTAATTTAGAGTCCTGTTAAATGCGAGTTAGGAAGTTCTTTTTAAGTTAATTTCTAATAATATCTTTGTCTCATATTTGCATGTCTAATTTTCTTTTAGGAGTGTACTTTGAAAAAGTTTTAAAGAGTTCAGACACTTCCCTTTGGGTGAGAAACATTCAAATGTATCTATCAGGGATTGTTGTGACATTAGTTGGCGTCTACTTGTCAGATGGAGCTGAAATTAAAGAAAAAGGATTTTTCTATGGTTACACATATTATGTCTGGTTTGTCATCTGTAAGTATCCAGGAATCAAAGGTTCTGGGTAGACCCTTAAAAAAAAAAAGTCAGATGTCTATTTGAAGCGTTTATAGCATTTTAAAGTTGTTCCTTTATATTGTGAACACTAGTTTGAAAATGTAATTTTGGTTTTATTGACTTAATTTTGTGGCATAGCTGTCTCAAAGCAATCTTGCTTTCTTAATCAGAATTATCTAATGTGTTAGCAATAAATGTGTACAATTTAGTAGTGGACCACATAGCCCTTTGGGCATCTGAAAAACAGTTTTGTAGGAACTATTGCTGAATTTTAATATAACTCTCTCAGGTGGCTGCTTCTAAGGAAAATAGTATGGCACCTTTGAGGATGAAAATTTCCTTACCATCATAGAATGTTTCATTTATTAGCATGTTAACATTTTCTTTCTTTCTATATACAAGTTCTCGCAAGTGTTGGAGGCCTCTACACTTCTGTTGTGGTCAAGTACACAGACAACATCATGAAAGGCTTTTCTGCAGCAGCAGCCATTGTTCTTTCTACCATTGCTTCAGTGCTGCTGTTTGGATTACAGATAAGTATGTCTTAGTTTGTATTTTCAAGTTTTTAACATGGAAAAGCCTCTCATTTCCTTGATTTGTCTTTTAAATGTGGCATGGCCATGGTGTTTTACAGAAACTCCTAGTTTCGTTATAATTTATTCTACAAGTGCTGCAGTTCATAGTTGTGTGGAATATGGGTCAGCAGTACTTAGGTGTTAGTTTTTAAATAGTTCTAGAGCTTAAGCTGAGGGGTGCTCATTCTGTATGAAAGTGAGGGGGCTACTGTTAAGCTTTTTTACAGGCAAGACCTCCCAATTCCCCAGATGTTAGATAAGACAACTTAAGTGCTTCAGGGAGAATATACTATGATAAGATACATGTGGAGATAAGTATAAGGACTTTCAGAATTTATTACTTTCAGCAATAGAATTAGAATAAGCAAGGCTTTTTGAGTAAAGAACAGACAGATTCTTTCATTTCCCCCTTAGTTTGTACCTTCCTAATTGTTTTGGACTTGGGTGCGAACTGATTTTGAAATTACAATTCAAATCTAAATGTTCTATTCTCTTTTATAAAAATATCTTTGTTTCATTTAATATGTAACTGATATAAAATTCATTACTATAAGACTATGCTAGTCCTCTTAATACAGTTGTCCCTAGCCCACACCCAGCATTAAGTTGGGTCTCTTATTTAAGCATTGATGCTGACTTAACATTTAAGGGGGTTTTATGCTGTAATAATAATTTTATTTAATAATACATGAGGAAAATTTGTCAAATATCAACACTGAAAAGAAGCATGTTTATATTTCATTTAAAAATTGACTCCTATTATAAATGCAAGTAGAGGAATACCAACCTTGTAGACATCTTAGAAAACTATTTTATAGTACTAGAGGCCCGGTGCACGAAATTGGTGGACTGGGTGGTGGTGGGGAGGAGAGAGTGCCTTAGCCTGGCCTGTGCCCTCCAGAGTCCAGGAGCCCTGTGATTGATCATCCCAAAGAGGTAGGCCCTGCCCATCTGGCCAGGGCCCTTTGATCAATTGCCCCAAAGAGGGAGGCCCACCAACCTGGCTGGAGTTCCATAATGGATCACCCCTGCAGAGGAAGGCCTCGCTGCAGTGCCACCTCGGCCTCCCTCTTTGGGGTGATAGATTGTGCCCCGCAGAGGGAGGCCCCGCCTACCTACCGAAGCCCGCCAGTCGGTGGCCTGGGTCTCTCTCTTTGGGGTGATGATGGAGCTCCCCAAATGATTGTTCCGGTGGCCTGGGCCTCCTTTTGCAGGGTGTTTGTGGGGCAATGGCCGGGCCCCAACCAATCACATTGCACCTGGCCTTACTGGCCTGGTGTCATAGGGTGTTCGCCCGGAAGGTGGTTCTGCTGTTCAGTTGTTCAGTCGATTTGCATATTATGCTTTTATTAATATTGATGGCTCAAATTTTGCCTGTGCTATTTATTAACTATACAACCTTGGGGAAATTATTTACCTGTGTCTCAGTTTCTTCATATGTAAAACGGGAATGGTAATAGCACCTACCTCCTAGTGTTGTTTCAGGGAAAGTTCTTAAAAGTTCTTAGAATAGTGCCTGCCACGTAGTAAGTATTCTGTATAAGGTCAACCATTTAAGTGTCAGGTATAGGCCCTCCTTTAGATATTTTTCTTACCTGATTTGGGTGAACTTTTAATTGAAGTTCTGATCCATCCTTATGCTCAACAAACCCTTATGACTTTGCTCCTAAATAATACAGTGGGGCCTTGGCTTACGAGTTTAATTAGTTCCGAGACTGAGCTCGTTAACTCAAATTACTCTATCAACTAAATGCAAAAAATTGGCCCAGAGACAGCTGGTATCTCAAAAAACTCGTTAGTCGGGACACTTGTAAATCAAGGCCCCACTGTACTTGGGAACAGTATAAAATGACTTTGGTCAATGTTCTGTGTTAATGATGGTCAAGGAAATTAGACTGTCATAGCAATCTTCCAGTTTCTTATTTACTAGAGGCCCAGTGCATGGATTCGTGCACAGGTGGGATCCCTCGGTCTGGCCTGCTGGCATCGGGCTGAAACCAGCTCTCCAACATCCCCCGAGGAGTCCTGGCAGGCCAGGCCGAGGGACCCCCACCGGTGCAGGATTGGGGCTGGCCGGGGGTGGGGGAACTGAGGGAGGGCTCCAGGGCGTGTCCAGCACTTCTTGTCCAGTCCTGATTGGCCGGACCCCAGCAGCAAGCTAACCTACTGGTCGGAGCATCTGCCCTCTAGTTAGTGGTCAGTGCGCATCATAGAGACTGGTCAAACGGTTGGTCACTTAGCATATTAGGCTTTTATTATATAGGGTTTTCATTCCCCTTTTTTGAAGGTAAAGCTAGTCTTTTCTGGTTAGGGTTGAACTAAAATCATATCTTGATGGCATTTCTTTACATGCCATTTTGTAAGCTGTTAAGATTGTACTCTATATAGAATGGAGTACAGTTTTGACATAGCATTTATTTATAAAGTGACTACTGGTCAAGTTTAGACAAGTTGTAATTCAGTGGTGTCCTGATTTTTAGGATTAAGATGATAAAAAAAACAAGGTTAGGAGAAAATGGAATTTTACTTAGTAAATCACCACTTCTCCTATTTAGAAATCTTCAGTAGATTTAATTATTGGTTACTTAACACCTTGGCTCTAAATTTGCACAGGTTTCTAGTATCATGAAAAGCACACTCCACTGCTTTTTATTTCAGTCAGTGTAGAGGGAAGTTAGTATGTTCTTTGTCAATGGTTCAGGATAGGCATACTTGTATTCTGAAAAGTGTATGTATACTGTCACTCCATTGGTCTTTCTAAACCTTATAATCATAGAAACAGATTTACGTATTTTCCATATTTACATTCCATTTTAAAATTGACTCGTCATAAATGCAAATAGAGGAATGGCATGAACCCATACTTGAAAGTCTTTAAAATTCTAAACCAATCATTTGTTGTATTAGTTTTACAGACAAAATACAAATTAAGCTTATTTTGTTTCCTTTTCAGCACTCACCTTTGCTCTGGGTACTCTTCTCGTATGTATTTCTATTTATTTCTATGGATTACCCAGACAAGATACTACATCCATCCAACAAGGAGAAACAGCCTCAAAAGGAAGAGCCAGTGGTGTGTAATTTCAGCCTCAAAGGAGATTCCTACTAAGATTGAAACCATTTGCATTAAACTAGAGCCTTAAGTCAACCCCAGAAGGTAGCTTAAAGAATAACAAACTATGTGGTATAAGATTAAGAAGAAAGCTATCTTTAGTGAATTGCTACCAAGATTTAATGTGACCTGTTTGGGGTCAACCCATTTTGTTTTAGAATGAATTTTTTTATTGTATATATAATGTATATAAAAGTATGGAGATAGTACGGTTAAAAAATCATGTGAGGCTATAATATTCAAATAAGGTTTGGGACAATGTTAAAGGTTAAAGTGCCAAAGCCATTTCTGTACTAACTGTTGTCTTGTTCAGGTACCAGAGGAGAAGGATGGCCCCTCCTTGTTCCCCAATTCATGTACAGTATTTTGTTCCAGCAGCAGTAATGACCTAACTCTTTTCTTACAAGGGAGACAAAAACAAGACAGGCTAGTCAGAAACAAACTGAATGTGGAACTTCTCAAACTGAATATTTCATAACTCAAGACAATGATTTCTGGGTGGTGACTGAATACTCCTGTAACTGCTGTATTTGTGCCATTTATTGTATGGATTCACATTTCTTTGCTGTTAGATGATATACTTTTCTCCAAAAAATATTTCTACTGTCTTTTGTACTTTTTTTTATAAAATATGTTTAGCTGTGGGGCTCTCAATAATTTATGAAATTGTTTTTTAAAAATTTTTTATATGAATAGGGAAATTCAGCAATAAACTTTATATGAAATCTGTTTGATCACTTTCTGTATTATAGCTATACCATTAAGGTAATGCAAAAACATAAACCCCAAACATTACATTTAAAATTTTCTCTATGTTGAAATTGTATTAGTGTGTTTTGGTTGCGAATAGTAGCTATAAACCAACTATGACTAAAGATGGTATACCATACTTGCTGATATAAAACTATATTCATTCAACTAAGAAGTTTGGTTCATGCTAATTTTCCCCTCTGATTCGTAAAATTAGATAGTCACTGATACTGATACTAGAGAAGACTTCTCGTAGCAACATTTAAAATAAATTACAGCAGTCCCAAATGGAAATGCTGGCAGCCATACTGATCAAACAGATCACATGTTAACCTAAACAATCACACAAAACATTTTACCAATATGCAGATAGGTGAAGTAAACGGTTTCTGTACAAGTAATTTCTTGTTATTCAATGTATCCAGTCCCCGAGTTCATGCAGTAAGTTACCTGTATACGTATCAACAAAAAGATAAACACGAGATCTGTTCTCTGGGTGTTATCAGCTATATTGGCAAAAGGGTGTAATACTAGTCTCTCTAAATTTTTTCAGACTAGTCATAATTATAACAAATTTGATGTAAACATTAGGTCATCTTGGTTGGTTATAAGAATAGTTTCTGGCCCTAGCCGGTTTTTCTCAGTGGATAGAGCGCCGACCTGCAGACTGAAGGGTCCCAGGTTCGATTCTAGTCAAGGGCATGTACCTTGGTTGTGGGCACATCCTCAGTTAGGAGATATGCAGGAGGCAGCTGATGGATATTTCTCTCCCATCAATGTTTCTGACTCTATCCCTCTCCCTTCCTCTCTGTAAAAAGTGTGTGTGTGTGTGTGTGTATAGTTTCTGGAGGAATGACATTGTGAGAAACCTCAAAATAGAATTTAAACTCTAACCCTTTATTCCTGTTAGACCACAATGCATTGAAAAGATTTAAATGAATTTTATAAAAGTCTATTTAATACTTAATGACCATAAGATTTCTTTTTAAGGATTAAGATTTAATCAGTTGATAAATCACTTATAGACTTAATATATAGATTCTGACACAGAATAATAAAATTCCAAACAGCAAGGCATATAAGAATAGATAACTAGGATTAATTAGTATTTAAAAAACCATTTTCATTGGAAATTACATCCTACATACAGGTGTTATTCCAAGAAGTTTCATTCCATTGGCTAGGACAGAACGGACAGCTCTGAAAAGATGAAGTCTGGCCTGCAAAATAAATCAAAGAATGATTAAATGTTCAATAATAGGTTAACTATAAAATGAATAAGAATGTTTTTAAGAATAAATTTAACTTTCTTCTAAGTACAAACAATATCTGAAAAGTTCCCTGGGGTTTGCTGTAGGCAAGGGAATACAAATTCCTAGAATCCCTAACAGTAACACTGGTACCCAAAGGTTGGGGAGTGAGTGACAGTATCATCATACAGTACAGATTCAAAAAGGGAACCCATCTCTAACACTTTATGTAGGAAAATCTACTTCATAGTTTAGTATGTTGGAAAGTAGATAAATGTTGATTGTTACAACCCAATTCTAATTATTAAGTACACTGCTGTAGTTGAACAATTGGATACTATTTTAGAAACATTTGCAAGACTGACTCAGTAATATTAGTCTGGGGAAGCTAGAGATTATACACAAAACACTCAGTGTAACATACCCCAGCCACTTCAGGAGGACTCTGTTTTATGGGCAGTGTTCTGTGTGCTACAGCTGCAAGGTGACTGAAAAGAGAAATCCTGATCAGGACCAGTAGTAACTTCCTGTTGTGACATATAAGCCTGATATCTAATCTTACTTCCTCAATTTAAAGATTAAAAAAAAAAATCAAAGCCTATATACAACCATTAAAATGTATCAAAAGTTGAAGGTCCTGGCTGGGTAGTTTAGTTGGTTAGAGCATCATCCCGAGATGCCAAGGTTTTGGGAAACAAGCAACCAATGAATGCATAAATACACTGAGTGGCCAGATTATTATGACCACCCCATCAGTACTTCGTTGGGCCACCTTTTGCCTTCAATACTGCGGCGATTCTTCTTGGCATTGACTCCACGAGATGTTGAAAGGTGACGCGAGGAGTCTGACACCATGCCTGATGGATAGCACCGTCCAGTTCTGTGAGATCTGATGGTGGTGGAACCAGCTGCCTGATGGCTCTTTTAATTTCGTCCCACAAATGCTTGACTGGATGAGATTTGGTGATTGTGGGGGCCACCTAAGCAAGGTAAAACCTCCCTCATGTTCTTGAAACCACTCCTGCACAATACGAGCACCGTGGCATGGAGCATTGTCTTGTTGGAAGAAGCCATCTCCATTGGGATACGCCATCAACATGATAGGATGAACTTGATCAGCAACGATACTTAGGTATGTTGTGCTATTCAGATGTTGTTCCACACGAATTAAAGGGCTTAAATCATGCCAGGAAAACATGCCCCAAACCATAACACTGCCCCCACCAGCTTGAAGGGTTGTACTCATGCATGTGGGGTGCAACTGCATGATTCATCGGACCACATGACTTTTTTCCAATGCTCAACTGTCCAATCCTTGTGTTCCTGTGCGAATTGGAGATGTATTATCTTGGTAACTGCAGACACCAAAGGTGTTCGAACAGGCCTTCGGCTTCCATATCCCATACGATGCAGTGTACACCTAATTTGCCTACAAACATCAGGTGGTCATAATAGCCTGGCCACTCAGTGTAAGTGTAACAACAAATCCATCTCTCCTCTCTCCCTCCCTCCCTCTCTGAAAAAAGATGATGGTTTCATTATTAGTTTTATAAGTATAGGAGACCCCTTTCTAATGAGCTTTTCCTCATTAGGCTTCCTTTATGGTCTGGCCTTTCCCCCTCTGTATGGTGAAGAGGTCAGGTAGAGACTAGTTATGAGTGCACTCTGCACACAAACTGGCCAATCATCTTTAAAACATTTTTTCTATTTAGGTAAGGCAACAATTACAGCAGTGTACCAGAGAAATGATGCTTATGACATTTGTTTCAATGATTAAGTGGCATTTAATAAGACTTTCTGGCTTCTTCATTTCTATATGCCTAAGTGGATTTTAAAGGAAAAAATTATTTAAATCTAGAGAAGACAAAATAAAAAGCATAATTAAGAGAACAGTCCCAATAAATCTTTGGTTTCAATAAGTCTTGAGTAAACGCAAATATTTCTTAAATAGCTTTATGGGGAGACAGTTATCAGAAGACAGAATCAAATAGTCAAGTTTCTAAAATGGCTACCATGAAATGCCTATCATAGTGTCACTGACTTCTTCTCAATTCATTCTTGCCCTCTAGCTGATATTTCTACGCCTCTGCTTAAAGCCTTTTTTGTGGACCCTGCTGCCCTGAAAATAAGATGAAATGCCTTAGTACCTGGCAGAAATGCTTCATCTGACCCCGCCCAGGACTATGCTGATCATTCCTTTAATGATCATGTTCTTGCTTAATTCTGGGCTTTCTCCTCCTCCTCTGCCACCTTGCTTCTCCTAGTTAATATCCACTCCTTTCCTCTGAAAAGCCCTCTCTGATCCCTCAAGGCTGGGCTGAGTGCCCTGACATTTTCTCTCACATCCACTCTAGCCTAACACATACGCACTGTTCTGTAACCTCCTATGAGGCTGCTGTTTCCTGTTCAATTGACTGAGTGAATAGATGAACACTGATTGCTAATTTGCAAAGATGCAGCAAGAATTCCTGTAACTTAAAGCGCATAATATTTTTAGGCCAAAGGATTTATTTATAGGAACACTTCAGATGAAGGAAAGGTCCTTTGTCATATCAGGCCTCAGCTGTCTGATTACACCTGAAAATAGCAAGATTATGAAAGTACCTTAGAGTTAGAAGGTAGCTGACAATGTGCCTGGGTTGAAGGTCCTGAGATGATCTATAAAGCACTTCGTCAAACCTAAAAGAAAGATGTCAGGAGCAACTGTCAGGGGAAGACTGTGCACATGTTACACTACGCTAAGCTGTTAAGACAGTTATCTCAGATGTAAGGTTGACTTGACATCACTAAGGGTAGGAGGTATATGAAAAAAGACCTGTGTACAGTTGAAGGTAAGGGCACATTTTTCTCTCACAAATTTCTAGATGGCAGGCACTTTCTAAATCACCTTTTTCTTAGGCCTACTTCAGCATAAGGACTCAAACCATGGCTGTTAAGCTGAATGTAAAAGCTGCTTCGTGATGTTTATGGACAAGCAAAGAGTGTCTAGCCTCAATGCCAAGAAATCCAAGTTGGCTTATTTTTCCTCATAAACTAGGTCCTTCTGATCCCAGGAAAGAATCACTGACAGCTGTGTGGCAATCACACAAAACTGCCTTGTGAACCGTCCGCATCCCTGCTGGAGCCTGAGCTCTCACAAGGCTGGCTTCCCCAGTGATGGAGAGCGCTCAAAGGTGCAGTCTCCTGCCCAGATGAGGGCATCAGACAGATGCATATTTGAAACTGTGACTTGAAACCAAGAGGCAAATGAAAGACTCAGGGAAGCTGTGTAAAGGCAAGGATTTTCCTTTACTTATCAGAGAGGGTGAGAAGATGATCTTTTAAAAAATTACACAGTTATGCTTTTACCAGGGTTCACATTCTCAGATGACCTAAAGGGTGGTAGGCGCTTAGGCTAATTCAGGGTGGTAATATTTTTAAAACCTAATGACTATTCATTCATATGCCCTCTGTATACCCTTAAAGGGCAATCACTTTTTAGTCTACCTTGAGGAAAATGTTGTCTAGAGGCAGGAGCTAGCTACTAGCCTGTTCCCTCCAGTGGTTAGCAAACCATCAACAATCATTTTGTAACCAGACCCCACAGGTCAGGCCCTCTGCTTATCTCTGCAAGTTAGGTCCTCTGTTTTCCCCTAACAAAACTATATTAACCCACCCATTACCTTGTAGCAATAGGCTGCTTAATGTTTAAACTGTGGGGCTTAGCAAGACTGACCAGTACCTGGATTAATAATTTATGACCTACTGGTCAAAACATTTCAGGAAAACCATAGATAACATCTTAATTCAATGTTTTTGCTTCTTCAGAGAAAGGAATGGTCACAGGGCAATAATTTACAAGCTGACTTTGCAGAAAATGATGGAGACTCAATACCACCCATGACCCATGTGCCCTCTAACAGCATCTTAGAATCTACTCCTTGAGACTTTATCAAGAGACCAAAGACCATGGGTATTTACCCTAACACCCCTCTCCCAACTTAAACATCCTTAAGCTTGTCCAGCGGTAAGATGGCTTTGAGGTACTATTAGGGCTCATACATCTTGGTTGGCTCCTCAATCAATAAATTCCAAATGCTGAGGTTTTGAGTTTTGGCCTTTCGAAGCATCGGGCATAGGAACTGGGTTCAGAACAATTTCACTAAGCAGAAGCTGACTAAATAATACTCGAAAACCATACCTGAGAAGATGCTGGAGAATTGAAACAGACTGCGGCTCTTGTAAACAAGCAGTGTTGTAGTCATCCAGATAACCACATCCAAAAGTCTCTTCCAAACTGTAATCAAAAGTTTGAAACAACAAAGGATTAAACAAGTCATCGAAGGACACATAATTGTAAGTGATGAACACCATGTCATAATACAGTCTTGCTCTCCTTAATATATAGTCATGCCGCATAATGCTGGTCAACCATGGACGGAGTATAGGATGGTGCTCCCATAAGATTATAATGGAGCTGAAAAATTCCTATCACTTTGTGATATTGTAGCTGTCATAACACTGTAGTACAATGCACTATACAAATACTTACCGTTGCGTGACAATTGCCTACCGTGTTCAGTACAGTAACATGCTGTACAGATTTGTAGCCTATGAGCTGTAGGAAAACAGTATCTATTACCCCAAAATATGTCTATTTGGCATAAGGATTATTTAGGCTGGCTAATTTTAAGAGATAGTAGATACAATAGGGGAGAAGCTCTGAAAATCAAGTAGAAGTTACACTTTGTAAAAGACATTTATATTTGTAAGAGAATCTCCATTTGTAAGGGTGTCTCCCTGTGGTACCCTGAAGATGAAGATGACCTTATTTCTAGAAACTCTTATCAATGCAGAAGACCAGGAATTAAATCTGCGTAACAATCTCACCCTTGTTTTTTACTGTGCTCTTCCTGGTAACCTTCCATAACTGACCACCCTCACCCCCAACTTCTCCTTTTGTCTTCAACTGAAGATGGTATTTTAAGGTGGTGGCTCCAGGCATTTTGGCGAGTAACTCAGTTTTCCTGGGTCTCTTCCATGTACACTGGAAGTATACACATTATTAAACTTTAGTTTTTCTCCTGCTAATCTCTTTTTTTAAATATATATTTTATTGATTTTTTTACAGAGAGGAAGGGAGAGGGATAGAGTTAGAAACATCAATGAGAGAGAAACATTGATCAGCTGCCTCCTGCACACCCCCCACTGGGGATGTGCCTGCAACCAAGGTACATGTCCTTGACTAGAATCGAACCTGGGACTCTTTAGTCCGCAGGCCGACGCTCTATCCACTGAGCCAAACCAGTTAGGGCTAATCTGTCTTTTATTATAGGAATATTTCAGTCAGGAACCCAGAAGGAAGGGTACAGGGAAATCATTTTTGCTCCCCTACAGAGCAATAGGCTAAAGAGCACACAGCCTAGGTGTGTGTAGCAGGCTATACCATCTAGATTTATGAAAATGCACTCTATGATGTGTGCACAATCATGAAATCACCCAAGAACGCATTTCTCAGTCATGCTCCACTTAGTGACAGGGCCTGTCTTTAAAGGTAAGTTCAACCTGATGCTTCAATTTTTCTTTAAAAAATATTTTTTAATTTTTTTTTAGAGAGTAAGAAGAGGAGAGGGATAAACAAGAAAGAGAGAGAAAGAAAGAGAGAGAGAGAGAGAGAGAAAGAGAGAGAGAGAGAGACATTGATCAGTTGCCTCCCGCATGCACACCAACCATGCATCAAACTCACAACCTGCGCTATGTGCCCTGATGGAATTGTACTTGCCACTTTTTGGTGTATGAGACGAGGCTCCAACAGAGCCACACCAGCCAGGGCTTGATGCCTCAATTTTTCCTAAATCTGTATCGTTATCTGAAAACGGAGTATATTCTTTTGGTAGGATTATTGTGAATACTAAAGTAATAAGCATAAAAGCATTTCCTACATAGGTGCTCAATAAATATTTTAGAAAGCCCACAAAAAACAACAACAACGTAACAGGTAGGCAGTCCACTGTACTTTAATTAGTTTTGAATATGAAATATCAGAGTAGCCTGGAAAATAGGGCCTTTGGTCTTAGGACTGCAGCAGTCAAACCCCACCCTGGGAAGGGCAGAGTGGCCCACTGTTTCCCTGCAGCCTCTTCTCACCTGTGGAGGCGGGCGTGCGTGTACTGCAGGAAGACACCTGTGTCCCCACGACTCTGGAAGACACGGTCCCAGCTGAACTGATAGTCAGATAAGAGGGAACCTCTGAAGTCCTAAAATGACAGAGGAATCTCAGTGCTGGATCCGTTCTACCACCACACAGAAGGGCCTCAGGAAGCAGTCTAACAGACCTGAATAACGAGCGCTGCCAGCCCGACCCTCTCTGCAGTCTCCTGCGGGTTCTCCAGTTCCTTGGTGGCTGAAACAGAAACAGGTGGTATTGTCAACCTGCACGAACCTACACAGAGTCAGGGACTGAAGTGGAGACAAAATCTGACAAAAACGGATGCTGGCAGTATCAAGGACAAACAGGTTTATAGTGGGCAATTTACTTTTCTAATTTGGGTTAATTTACCTTTGATAATGATAATTCCCCTGCCTTCATTAAAAGGGAAAATACTCAAATTTATTTTTTTAATAAATAGCCCTCATAAGAAAATGTCCTTCTAAGGCAATAGATATAGCTGGCACTTATTTTTTCAAGGGTGAAGGTTAAACAAAGCCACGAGAAGAGGCCATGGCAATATCAACTCAGATTACTGAACTGAACAATACTTGAGCAGCCAAGTCTGAAAATTCCGGCACCTTTAATTAGTGAAAGCTATTTTTTAACAAGGTTAGTGGAAGTTCAATGGAGGAACAGTCATAATAAATCACACTGCACAAAAGTCCAGCAAAATATGCAAGTGGCATGTAGGGTAAATCCTTCTTTTTTACAGCTGCACAGCATTCCATGGTTTAAATGTACCACAGCTTTTTTATCCACTCATCTACTGATGGGCACTTGGGCTGTTTCCAGATCTTAGCTATTATAAATTGCGGTGCTATAAACATGGGATGCATATGTTCTTTCTGATTGGTGTTTTGCGTTTCTTAGGATATGTTCCTAGAAGTGAGATCACTGGGTCAAATGGCAGTTTCATATTTAATTTTTTAAGGGAACCCCATACTGTTTTTCATTTTGGCTGCACCAGTCTGCATTCCCACAAGCAGTATACTAGGGTTCCCTTTGTTCAACCTTCACCCTTGCCAGCACTTGTCATTTGTTGATGGTAGCTAGGGGTAGGTGGGTGGGTGGGATGAGATTAATCAAAGAACTTATATGCATATATACATAAACCATGGACACAGGTAATAGGGTGGTGAAGGCCTGGGGTGGGGGATGGGAGCAGGCTAGAAGAGGTCAATGGGAAAAGGAGACGTATGTAATACTTTAAAAAAACAAAGATTATTTTAAAAAGGAAGGTAAGTTATTATAACAAAAAAAGTGAATTCACTCTTAATAGAAGCCATGTTCTGTAGCATCCTTAATCGAATCTCATTTAAGACATCTTCCAGAAAAGTGACATCTCCTCTTCGAGTCCTCATTCCCTGCACCACTCCGAAGGGCACATGTTGGCACCTGAAATGGAGGGGCATTTAGTTAACTGGACACTGAGAAAGAGCTGGTTACCAAAGGATAGAATAATACCCTTTAGAGAGTAGTCTGAACTTAACTCTCATAATGGGGTTTTACAAAATTAACAGATTGAAACATGACGTGATTTATTATATGCCACAAATGTTAAACACACAGCATTATTTTAGAGAGATAATCACTAGCATAATTGCCTTTATGAAAAACAGGAAAGGGGGGTAAAGAATTCTGAAAATCAGCCCTAGCTGGTTTTGCTCAGTGGCTAGAGCATTGGCCTGCAGGCTGAAGGGTCCCGGGTTTGATGCCAGCCAAGGGCACATGCCCAGACTGTGGGCTCGATCCCCAGTAGGGGGCGTGCAAAAGGCAGCCAATCAATGGTTCATTTTTATCATTGATGTTTTTCTCTCTCTACTTCCTCTCCGAAATCAATAAACATATATTAAAAAAAGAATTTTGAAAATCAAGCCACTGAGAGCAGACATCTAATAAAAGCATTTATTAAATGTTTATATAAGCTACGTATTAATACAGCCAGACATAGATTAACACACATAAAAAATCTGCTTTCCCACACGAACACCTTGAAACTTAGAGGTTTCAATGAAAATTTTTAAAAAATCGGCACATTTTTGGATTTGGCTGACCTAACAATGATTCTGGAAGCAGGTAATTAAGAACCGTGTACACATTACCTTTTTGCCCAGTCATATCCCATGATCTGCAGCATCTGGAACACTTGCTGAAAATGCTTTATTTGCCCTTTATCTGTCTTTGGAGAAAAAGGTATTTAAAATAAAAGAACAATGATAATCTACAGAAATATATTGGACATGAATTAAATGAAAATATTTGAGTTCTGACAGACTACAGTCATTGTTAATTGATATGTTTTATTTATTTTTTTAAAAATATATTTTATTGATTTTTTACAGAGAGGAAGGGAGAGGGATAGAGAGTTAGAAACATTGATCAGCTGCTTCCTGCACACCACACCCCCTACTGGGGATGTGCCCGCAACCAAGGTACATGCCCTTGACTGGAATCAAACCTGGGACCCTTCAGTCCACAGACCCAATGCTCTATCCTCTGAGCCAAACCAGTTAGGGCTAATTGATATGTTTTAAATAAACACATAAAGAGGATGCCACCAGAAGACTGTCTTAGTGAGTGCACTAGATGAGAAGGAAGAAAGAGCTGCTATACTGTAAGGAGGAAATTCAAACTTTAATATTCTGAATCTTCTATTTAAATTCCTTCTCTCCCAGCTGTTATGATCTTTATCTCAAAGAAGAACAAAGCTAAGCTCTAAAAAGATATTTAATGGCAACGTTTCTTCTTAGGGGAAAGGAGGTTGCACGTGGAAGTGAAAGGGAAGAAGAGACTAAAATACTCAGCAACAAATGGAACAGATACAAACAAGAGATTAGGTGGTTCTCAAGGGCATTCATGATGCTGAGTAAAAAAAGCCAATCTCAAAAGGTCATTGCATTATAAATGCATTGTGAATGCATTTATATAACATTTGTACAATGACAAAACTGCAGTGATGAAGAACAGAGAAGTGGTTGCCAAGGGCTAGGGTTGGGGAGAAGGTGTGGTTGTCATGAAGGACTTTGTTTTGTGATGGAACAGTTTTGTATCCTGAATGTGGTGATGGTTATGTGCATCTACATATGTGATAAAATTTCACAAAAACACACCACACAAAAACATTCAGGCCCTTATACCAGTGATGTAAAAATTGGCAAGATTTAATTAAGGTCTCTTCCAATGTTGCTTTCTTGGTATGGACATAATATTATGGTTATGTAAGATACTATCTTTGAGGAAGGCTAGGTAGAAGGCATATGAAAACTCTATCCTATTTTAAAACTTCTTGTGAGTATTAATATATTTAAAATAGAAAGTTATTTTTTTAGAGTGTATGACAGTGACCTGTACATATTTATTTTATATAACCATTTTCCTGATTTAGATAATTTTGTTTTTACTATGAAACAATGTGAACTTTCAAATTTTTATGTTTTTTAAAACATCGTGGTTACCACCTTAATCACACTTAGTACTGAATTCTTTCTATAGTTTGACAAAATTATTTTTCCATAGTTTTTCAACATGGCATAAATTTTCAACCCAATTTCTATCTTTGCAGTTTTCGTGAGGTAGGGATCATAACCTTTTGTTCTTTACTGTTGATTACTTACCACATAAATCATTGTATCAAAATTATATTTGTCCATTCGATCTATAGCAGCTGCAAGATCTCTGAAAAAATGGCCATAAATTAAGAGTTACTAAGCACATCTGGGTAATAATTTGTTTTACCTATTTAATAGTAATGAAGCTTTTCTAGTTAAGAACTCCTGTTATCCCACAGGCTGGGGTATATTATCCATGCTTGTATAATCCCAATATCATATTTTGAGATACCAAATAATAAAAATAGTTTTGGGAAAAGGAATAATAAGTGTGCTATGAAAAGATAAAAAAATAAATGAGTAAGTCTCTGGGACAAGTAATAATAACTAAAATAGCTCTAGGGAGATTAGATTAAAAATGGCGGCAGAGTAGGAGGATGCTGCATGATCATGCTCCCAGGAACAAGCTGGAATTACAACTGAAATACGAGAAGGCTTCCTGAATAATCAATGGAAAGCTCACAGGAGAGAACCCTGATACCCAAGGACTGAAGGTGGAAGGTGGAGCCGGCATAGACACTGATAGGAAGGGCAGAGATGTGACCCACAGAGGGGAATTGAAGTCCCAGAGAGATATCTCAGCCAGTGGGGTGCGGGGGAGAGAAGGTGCCACTGAGAATTCTGGGATCTAATGCCAGAGCTGGGCTCCCCAGCAGAGAGCACCAAACTGAGGAGGGTATCCACGTAACATCAAGCTGTGAAAAGCAGTGGGGTGCTGTCTGCCAGGGAGTGGCAGCTGAAAGTTCAGGCACAAATATTCCCTGTGGAGCCACGCACCTTGTGCTCTGGCAGAGGGAGGGTGAAGTGGACTGGAGCTATGAGAGCAGAAGCCAGCCTGGGGACTCGGGGGACAGAGCTCAGAAGGCAGACACCCCAAGTCTCCTCGGCTCAGTCATTCCCTCACACAGCCACATAGACATCTGCCTTGCCTGGGGAGAAGACAGTTGATACACCCTATTGGAAAACACCTTGCCCTGAGGCCGCTTATGAGATTAAAAGTAACAATTCGAAGGAGTAGCAGCTGCTGGTGTAGCCTGCCCCCATCCAAGGAACAACAGCCTCCTGATCACCACACCCTCTGTCTGATGAACAGCAGCTGTGTGTGAAGCCTCCCCTTACCAGCCAGAGGAGCCACTACAACTGTGAACAGCACCCACCAGAGGAACTGCTACCAACTGAAGAGCAGCTGCTACCACAACTGCCTGAGGAGCAACCGCAGCCCGAGGAGCCACTGCCACCCAAGGAGCAGCCAATGAACGACTCAACATCTAGATATGGCAGTACAATCAAACATGGGTAGACAAAGAAAACCCCAAAGGAAAGAAAAGGAGGACTCGCCAGAAAAGCAGCTAAGTGATACAGAGGCATGCAGCATGACAGAAAAAAGAATTCAGATTAAGGGTCCTAGAGTGCATAAACCGGATGGAGGAAAAAATCAACAACTTATGCAAGAAGCAAGAAGAAATGAAGAGTGATATAGCTGCAATAAAAAACACCACTGAAAGTTTCAACAGTAGACTAGGAGAAGCAGAGGACCGAATTAGCAAATTAGAAGACAGGAAAACAAAACACACCCAAACTGAACAGCAATTGGAGAAAAAAATTAAAAGACAGGAGGAGAGCCTAAGGGAGCTATGGGACACCATGAAACGAAACAACATACAAATAATAGGGGTTGCAGAACAACAGAAAGAGGAACAAGGGTTAGAAAACCTATTTGAAGAAATAATATCAGAAAACTTCTGAGAGGTAGGGAAGAAAAAATCACACAAGCACAGAGTCCCAAACAAGGTGAACCTGAAAAGACTCACACCAAGACACATCATAATAACCATGGCAAATGTTCAGGACAAAGAGAGAATTTTTTTTAAATTAAATCTTTATTGTTCAGATTACATTTGTTCCTCTTTTACCCCCCCCATAACTCCCCTTCACCCAGTTCCCACCCTACCCTCCTCTCTCACTCCCCACCGTCCTCATCCATAGGTGCACGATATTTATCCAGTCACTTCCCACATCCCCCAAACCCCTTTCCCCGCCAAGAATAGTCAGTCCACTCCCTTTCTATGCCCCTGCTTCTATTATAATCACCAGTTCATTCTGTTCATCAGATTATTCACTTGATTTTCAGATTCACTTGTTGATAGATGTGTATTTGTTGTTCAAAATTTGAATCTTTACCTTTTTCTTCTTCTTCCTCTTAAAGAATACCTTTCAGCATTTCATATAATGCTGGTTTGGTGGTGAAGAACTCCTTTAGCTTTTCCTTATCTGTGAAGCTCTTTATCTGACCTTCTATTCTGAATGATAGCTTTGCTGGGTAGAGTAATCTTGGTTGTAGGGTCTTGCTATTCATCACTTTGAATATTTCTTGCCACTCTCTTCTGGCTTGCATGATTTCTGTTGAGAAATCAAATGACAGTCATATGGGTACTCCCTTGTAGGTAACTGATTTTCTTTCTCTTGCTGCTTTTAAGATTCTCTCTTTGTCTTTTGCTCTTGGCATTTTAATTATGATGTGTCTTGGTGTGGTCCTCTTTGGATTCCTTTTGTTTGGAGTTCTCTGTGCTTCCTGGACTTGTAAGTCTATTTCTTTCTCCAGATAGGGGAAGTTTTCTGTCATTATTTCTTCAAATAGGTTTTCAATATCGTGGTCTCTCTCTTCTTTTGGCATCCCTATAATTTGGATGTTGGTGCACTTGAAGCTGTCCCAGAGGCTCCTTACACTATCTTCGTATATTTGGATTCTTTTTTCATTTTGCTTTTCTGGTTGGGTGTTCTTTGCTTCTTCATATTTCAAATCGTTGACTTGATTCTTGCAATCCTCTAGTCTGCTGTTGGGAGTCTGTATAATATTCTTTATTTCAGTCAGTGTATGCCTAATTTCTAGACGGTTCTTTATCACAACATCGAGGGTCTCATTAGATTTCTTGTAGATCTCATTAAGTTTATCGGCAGTTTCTAGAAAATTATTGAAAGATCTTAAAAGTGTGGTTTTGAACTCTATATCCAGTAGTTTGCTTTCCTCCATGTCTGTCATTTGTGTCCTTTTTCTTTGTCTCCTCATTTTTTATGCTTCCCTGTATTGATACAGTCGTTTTCTGTGCTAAGTGTCCTATAAGGCCCAGTGGTTCAGCCTCCCCAATTACCTGAGGACACTCTTGGTGCACCCCCTTGTGGTCTTTGTGCACAGTCTTGTTGTAGTTAAGCCTTGATTGTTGTAGGTATCACTGGGAGGAATTGGCCTTCAGGCCAATTGGCTGTGAGAATCAGCTATGTCTGCAGTGGGAGAACTTCTGTGCTGAAGACACCCCTCTGGGGCAAGACTTGCTTCAAAGGGGCTTTGTTGCTCACTGAGTCTGCCCCCTGAGTGTGTCCTTTATGTTTCCATGGAGCTGCAAACTGGATGGTCCCACTCTGACCTCTGGGCTTCCTGGCTCCTGGGTCTCTAGGGAGGTGCTAATCTAGCCTTTGCCTGAGGCTATCCAGCAAAAGCCTCCCTGCAGGCCTTGGGCTGGGCAGGTCCCACGGGATCAACAGGACTGGGCTAGCAGTTATGGCTGCTCTCAGTCTTGCCCTCAGAGGCTTTGTTTCTCAATGTACCGGTAATCGCTGCAAGCCCCTCGGAGAGAAAGCTGCCATCGAGTTCAGACTGCTGCCAGACAGTCCTGCTTCTCCCGTACGAATCTGGGTCCCTAGAGACTCGCCCAGAACTGGAGCTCAGAGCCTGAGACTCCCTCCCGATTGAAAAAGACAATCGTGACCTCAGCCGCCAGCCCTCTTGGCATGCACCTCTGCACCTTTGTATCTCTCTTCTGCACCCACCTCCTCTGAGTCTCGGTATGCTTTTCTCTTTCCTTCTAGTTGTAGAATTTCCACTCACCCAGCCTTCTTGTGGTTCTGGATGATGTCCGTTCCTTCTTTTAGTTGTATTTTTGAAGTGGTTGTGCGAGGCAGCAATCTCCGGTGTTTACCTATACCAAAAGGAGAGAGAGAGCAAGATATTGAAAAACTATTTGAAGGAATAATGACAGAAAACTTCCCCTACCTCGTGAAAGAAATAGACTTTCAAGTCCAGGAAGCACATAGAACCCCAAACAAAAAGAATCCAAAGAGGACCACACCATAATTAAAATGCCAAGAGCAAAAGACAAAGAGAGAATCTTAAAAGTAGCAAGAGAAAGTTAGTTACCTATAGGGGAATACCCATACAACTGTCAGCTGATTTCTTAACAGAAACTTTGCAGGCCAGAAGGGAGTGGCAAGAAATATTCAAAGTGATGAACAGCAAGAACCTACAACCAAGATTACTCTACCCAGCAAAGCTATCATTCAGAATTGAAGGTCAGATAAAGAGCTGCACAGATAAGAAAAAGCTAAAGGAGTTCATCACCACCAAACCAGTATTATATGAAATGCGGAAAGGTATCCTTTAAGAAGAGGAAGAAGAAGAAAAAGGTAAAGATACAAATTATGAACAACAAATACACATTTATCAACAAGTGAATCTGAAAATCAAGTGAATAATCTGATGAACAGAATGAACTGGTGATTATAATAGAATCAGGGGCATAGAAAGGGAGTGGACTGACAATTCTTGGGGGGAAAGAGGTGTTGGGAAGAGAATGGACAAAAATCTTACACCTATGGATGAGGACAGTGGGAGGGGTTAGGGCAGAGGGTGGGGTGGGAACTGGGTGGAGGAGAGCTATTGGGGGGAAAAAGAGGAACAACTGTAATAATCTGAACAATAAAGATTTAATTAAATTAAAAAAAGAGAAATAACTAGCTTGCTTTACTTTAATTTCAATGTCACTTCTGGGAGTAGATACATGAGGAGAAGCTAGTGATTTACATTTGGTACTTTTAATTCTGTAAGTTCAAAAACAATAAATGTTTAATAAAATAAAATCTCAAGAAATGTCAAAAGGAAGTATAAGTGTCTTCACACATGTTTTAGAATAAGTTAAAAATAAATGAGATTTAAAGTAATAAATAAATAAATAAGATGGCTCTAGGCAAGTGTCTGTAGGTAAATATTTCAGGATCTTTTAATTATAAAAATAAAAAACCTATTGTAAAGAATCACCTAATTGTCACCTATTTGCAATACACTCTGTTAAAGAACACATTTAAAAATAGTTATGTAGTAGCTAAATAGATAAATTCTAGCTACTCCTCTATTAGTATGATCAAGGAGTTTCAGTCTTAGATCAGTCATAATAATATTTTCTAAAGCATTTTAAAAGATTATAACGTATTTTAATAAAAGTTCTATTTAACTCTTTCATCTCTGATTAACTAGAAAAGACCCAGTTTACATGTTATATAAAAGAATAAAAAATAAACCATAAACTATGAAATTTCAAGTCAAGATGATAAAAATGTTGAAATTAAAGTAATTTTTGACAATATATGATACTGGGGGAGGATTTAAAAAGTTCCTAGATCTTTTGAAATGTTAGGATTATCAAAATATCATTAGTACTCACCTCATAATCTATAATAATAAAAGTGTAACATGCTAATTAGATCAGACAGCTGAACGACCTTCCGGACGTCCTTCTGGATGAAGCCAGGGCTGTGAGGGCCAAGGCAAGCTGTAGTGACTGTGAGGGCTGAGTTCCTTGCATGAATTTCGTGCTTTGGGCCTCTAGTCCTATGTACTAAAAGCCTAATATGCAAATTGTCTCCTAGACTGGGAGTTCGATTAGGTGGCAGGGTCTGAGGCGGTGGCAGGCAGCTGGGGGAAGGGAGGCACCCCGATTGGTAGCCGGCAGCCGCTAGGGACCCTACCCGTACATGAATTTCGTGCACTGGGCCTCTAGTCCTATTATAACACAAAACATGCACTCTCAATGGAGGCAAACACTGGCTCTTTAGGGACAGTAAAATCTTATACTTTTTATGTATAAAGCACATATTTGCATACAATACATACAGGTATATAGTATATCTGTGTTGTTAAAATTCATGAGAGTAGGCAAGTAGGAAAAATGGTTCCGAGAGGGGTTATAATGGGAAAAAAAAAAAGGTTGTGAGACACTGGTCTAGACAATTATTCCCAAAATGAAGTCACATATATATACCCCAATTATAGTTTTTGGTTTGAGCAAAGGACAAAACAGATAAACCTTCTGATCCGTTGAAATAATAAACGAGAGGAATATAAGAAAAAGTTGTAGGTTGAGTTTGTAGAACTTGAATTGAAAGCTAGAAGATATGCCAGGTCATTTAGTTCAGGCCTCTCATTTCACAAAGTATGGAACCATGGCCCAGAGAGGGTAAGTGATGGGCCTGGTCTCAGAAGTTCAGGTATCCAGGCTCACCCTGTGCTCTTGTCAGTATTCTATACTTTTCTTTGTTGTTATAACAACTCCTTTAACTCACACTTACACAGATGTATTCTATAAGGAACCCAATGAAAGGGCAGAAATAACTAAAGATAGAGCAAGGCAAAAAATCAAACACTTCAAACAAGTAGCAAAAAGAAAATCATTTTCCAAAGAAAAAAGAGAAAGTGTAAGTATTATGATAAATACAGTTGGTCCTCCACACCCACAGGTATCACAACTGTAAATAGGAAATTTTGGACAAAAAGGTTATGTTGTTGATATATGTGTACTGTGTAGTCAGGACTGCTCTATCATGGTTGCAACTGTACTAAACATGTATAGACTTTTTTTTCCTTGCCATTATTCCCTAAACAATACAGTGTAACAACTACTTACATAGTACTAGAATTGTTAAGTACTCTAGAGATGATTTAAAGTACAAGGGAGAATGTGCGTAGTTTAGATGCAAATACTATACTTAAGCATCTATGGATTTTGGTATCTGTGGGGCATCCTGGAACCAACACCCCATGGATACAAAGGGATGACTGTACACAGAAAAATCTAGACCTAATAATAACCACAAAACAATACCAGATTCAGGGCAGTTACAGAGTCTTCATGTCATGGAACTTCCATTCTGAGTGGACACAATTCTTATAAGGATTGCTCATGGGTTTCTTTTGTAATCTGTCCAGCAATAGTTAGCTGGCAGAATAATTTTTTCTACTATTTATTTTTTGTATCTGGAAAAAGAAATGGACTTCTTAGATATATAAGTTCTTTTCATATCTCACCCTCAACTGTATGGAATTGATAAAAGGACATTTCAAAAAGTAATAAAAAGTAGATGAATTTTCTGAAGGACAGTAGATGGATGGCTGTTTAAAACTGTTTGGAACAAATGATAGTAGTTAACAAAAATTTTTTTAAAATATCATTACTTTCACTATGCTTACAAGAGGTTTGTGATGTAATATAAAACTAGCCCGGGAGACTAGAGCCTTTTGCCAGCATTGCTTGAGTATGGCCATGTTTGCTTGTGTGGCTTTTTTATTTTTCTGTCTTTTCCTCCCTATTAGCTTTGTCTCAGAAATAAGTGTGTTTGACAATCCTAGATCTTACTAACAGAGACTGCTTTGTTCCACAGGAATCAGTCATGGAGACAGAAGAAAAAAATTTAAGTGAAATGGCCTGTTTTACCACAATCAGAATGAGGTCTGATTGTTAAGATGGTCTTTACAGAGTGAGGACACCACTGAGCTCACACAGCCACCTTTTAGCATACATTCCCTCCCACTATGCAATTGTAAAGTATTTATAGTTGATTACAAGAAATCTCAATTTTATAGTTGGTAGAATAATGTGGAATCCTATGATGTTTACTTAACAAATTGTAAGTAGTTTTCAGTCACTTTTCTGATGATTTTTAACCTTTCCAGGCAATATAACTTGCACTAAACAGAAACCCAAAAAGTATATTTTTAGTGATGAGAACAAGAGATTTAGAAACTAGCCTTTGGTAATAGTTTTGAGGATAACATAATTGTTTTAGCATTAACTCTAGAACAAATAACATGAAGTCATATACACATGCTAATTCTAATGCTGACCTTCACATAAGATACAAACCTGGTTGCATACAGAGATGTCCCATCACTACGCATCACAGTACAAACTGAGGAAGGGTCACCATTCCCAGAAAGATCCACTACAGCCGTTCCTTTTCTAGAAATGCAAAACGGTAACTTGAAGCAACATAATAAAAATTAAGACCTTTAAAAGTATAATATCTATAACATTATATTTGGCAAACCAGAAGCTATTTTTATTGCTTAAGTAGCAATAAGTGGTATAACCAACAACAAAGAAAAATAAGATGGAATCTGACCATGAATCTATTAAGAGTGGGTATAATCCTACATAATTAAAGCCTAATATGCTACTGTCTGGTTGTCCGGTCAACCAATCAACCAATCATAGTGTAATATGCTAATGATATGCTAAGGTCCCTCAACCACTTGCTATGACATGCACCGACCATCAGGGGGCAGACAGTTGACCGGTAGACCAATCGCTATGACATGGAGTGACCACCAGGGGACAGATGCTCCAACTGGTAGGTTAGCTTGCTGCTGGGGTCTGGCCAATTGGGACAGAGCAAGATGGGCCAGGCACACCCTGGAGCCCTGCTACGGTCGCTCCCCAGCTGGCCAAACTCCCATGTCCCTCGTTGGCCTCAATCATGCAACAGTGGGGTCCCTCAGCCTGGCCTGTACCTTCTCGCAATCCAGGCTGAGGGACGGCCCCCCCACATACACCCAAGTGCACGAATTTCGTGCACTGGGCCTCTAGTGCAATTAATATTTGGTTACCTTGTAACTCTGGGTAAGGTACTTAGATAATGTCATAAACATACCTAAAAAAATGCAATTACAACCGTAGTTATTTTTTCTCTAATTCCAGTTATTTTAATATTAAATATTGGTCTAGCTTTGAGATGCCATAAAGTACCCTTGAGTAATAAAAACCATGGGATTTTGTTATTGTCTTTCCTGCCTGAGCAAAAATTAGAATTTGTATACAGTAGTCTAAAAATTTTCCTTAACGACATTGCTAAGGATGTTATTAAACAGTTTCCATGTCTTCCTTATAAAGACGGCAAAAGAAATTGCTCTTTGGTTCTATGAAAAGCGGCCCCTCTAAGCAACATTACAAATATCTGGGCTGCTAGGACTGGTACTATTTGTCTGTTTGGTTGACGGGAAGCTCAAAGCTAAATTAGAAATCTACCTTAAGCCAGGAAACAGAATCCCAGTGTGTGTTACATGACGTACTAATATCACCCTAACTTCATATTATTTTCTGCCCCCACTTCCTGATTTTCTCCTTTACTCTTTCAAAAGCTTGTTGTATTACACCTATTTTCATAAGCTGCCTTAAATCTTTTTTTTGAAGAGGATAGGATTACTTTTTTTTAAAAAGGCAGGGTTAAGTAAGAAGTTGTTAATTCTATTGCTTTTTTACAGTTATACCATTATCAGCCGTTGTGACCTTAGGCAGGTCATGCGTACCTTCTGTTCTTGTTTGCTCATGTGCAAACAGCAGATAACATCCTTTCTCCCAACCTTACCAGACTTTTGTTATGGCAGCAAAAGACAGCATGTGTAAAAGTACTTCGAACAGCAAAAGCACTATTAAAAAAAATGCCAGAAAGGGCTGCAAAGCACATTCTGTTGTCCTTACTGAGTGAATATATCAACACCAATTTCAAAAAAGAACAAAAACCTTTACTAAAGAATAGTAGCCTGATCATACACTGTTTTCTGCAGGAGTCCTTTACTGTCCAGCAACTTTAAGACTTCTTGAGATTTTTCACGATAAAATGATTCTCCTGAGTATTCATCAAAATGTACTCCTAGACGCTAAAAGGGTTCAGAAACAAAAGAAAAAGAGTTACTCAAATGTCCTTTACCTTACCCTAAGACAAAATAGGATGCCCTACAGCAGTGGTTCTCAACCTTCCTAATGCTGCAACCCTTTAATATAGTTCCTCATGTTGTGGTGACCCCCAACCATAAAATTATTTTCGTTGCTATCTCATAACTGTAATTTTGCTACTGTTATGAATTGTAATGTAAATATCTGATATGCAGGATGTATTTTCATCGTTACAAACTGAACATAATTAAAGCATAGTGATTAATCACAAAAACAATATGTAATTATATATGTGTTTTCCGATGGTCTTAGGTGACCCCTGTGAAAGGGTCATTCGACCCCCCACCCCAAAGGGGTCATGACCCACAGGTTGAGAACCGTTGCCCTACAGTCTGGCACACAGACCAAGTTACTCCTCTGCTCTAATCTTCTAAAGGCTCCTCCCACCAGTCAAGTCCTCCCAACAGTATCATACTGTCCAATAGGGTAGTTTTAGGCACAGGAGGCTATTGAAATTCCCATGAAATACAATTAAACATTTAGTTTCTCAATGACATTACTCACTATAGCCACACAAGGTTAGTGGCTGCCATACTGGACAGCAAAGATACAGGACATTTCCATCACCTCACGAAGCCAGACTGGACAGCCTGGAAAATATCCCACATCACGTCCCACTCTATAACCTCTTCAATCTCCTCTCCTATAGTCCGCATCTTGCTTACCTACTCCAGCCACATGGGCTTCTTTACAGAAACTCTCTTTAGTCCACGCATGCCTGACCTTTTCTACCCTGCTTAATTTTTCTCCTCAGCATCATTACCATCTAACAGACTACATGCTCTTATTTAATTCACACTGCCTTTGTTTAATGCACTGTCTCCATGCTAGAATGTAAAGTCCATGAGAAAAGTTATCTTTTTTATTCACTGTTGTATTTTTCCCATGCCCTAAAATGTTAATTAAATGAACAAATTTATACCCATCATGAAGAAAAAATTGTAAAAAAAAAAAAAAGTGAAGGAATGATAGAGAAAAGAAAAGCCTCCCCGAAATGAAGTATCAGAATGTCAGTCTGTTAAGCTTATAGGCTGTAGGATTATTTCATAGCTCTAACTTTCAGCCCAAAGAACAATATTTGAGTCCTAAATTCCAACTCAATGACAAGTCTATTCTTAAAACATGAGCATAAGAAGAAATATGGCTGCCTGGAGGTACCAGTCAAGAGCTGCACCACATCTCAAGAAAGCAGGAGAGAGCTCAGGTACCTTGTAAATCCGAATGTACTCTTCTACGCTCAAGTCCCGAAATTTTTGCCATAGTGCAAGTGCTTGCATGTCACCTAGTTCCAATCGCTGGAAGAAATCATGTGCTGATTTGGCTACACTTTTGTCTTCTGCTGCTTCTTTATTAACTTGTACGTAAACCTAAAAGCACAACAGTAATACATATTACTAGTCACAGTTATCTTCAATAAGGAAAAGAAGAAAAAAAAAACCCTAAAAATTCTCATTTAAAGGTTATCCAACTACCCTCATCACAGAGTATAACCTTTTCTTTTTTTTTTGTTGCCATGAGCCTTTAGTGAACCCTATGGACCCCTTCTTCTCTAAATGCATAAAGTAAAATACATACATTTACAAAGGAAATAATTACATTGAAATACAGTTATCCAAATATTTTTTATTTAAGATATAGTAATGAAGGAAAATGCTAACTTTCTGATAGAGGTTAGTGAAAATGTGTAAATTTTTCTTCCCATTCAAGTTCACAGACCCTTACATTAAGAAAGCCTGGCTTAGACTAGAATAGCATGTCTTGTTTTTTTATTTTTAAAAGTCAAATTGTTATTGCTGCAACTTGGCTCAATCTGGCAAAGAAAAGGCCAAAGAATGATTTAGCAGTTGTTTTAATGAAATATTTTTTAATTGTTCTCTAAATGCACAAAAGACCAGTAAAATAGGTGATCCAGGACAGTTAGCTTAGCTTAATTATACTCCAACGTGGGCTCCTGAAAATGCGTAGAGCCCTCACTGCTGGAGTGCTTTTGCACCATCTGCCTTGGCTGGTTCAGCTCTGTACCACCCAATGACAGGTGTGGAGTTGGAGAGCTTATTAAGGACTCTGGCAGTTCTAGAATTCTGTGTCCACAACACAGTTAATTATTTTCCAGTTTCCAAAATACAAGGTTAAAAATTGACATTATAGCTCAAGTAGTTTTGAAGTTATGCATATGGACTATAAAGATTTTATTTACAAGTTGTAACTCACTTCCAGAGAGAAACAGGAATAAGTTACCTACCCCCATAATTTTCCCCCAGAAAACTATTAAAGTAGCATGAAAGTAATAAAATTTGACACACAACCAAAAAAAAAATCAGGCCTCTAAACTCTGACAGTAATATCATCAAAATATCATGGCAGGAGTATTTACAGAGAAAATGCTTTGATTGCTGGAGAATATGTTGGGAAAACCAGAATATGGCTTATACCCATGAGATATTACCCACAAGGGACAGGGCATTAAACATCTGTCTCAAGGTAAAAATATCTCATCTTTCATAGATGGCTTGTGTTAATTATTGGAATGGCAGAATTGAATGAATACATACCTAACTAAAAGTAAAAACTACCCTAATATATTTTTCCTCTTTAAACTATATTGTGTAGAAAAGAGTTAAAATAGCAAGTCTGAGACTGAAATCCTTTAAACGTTCTGTTTGCAAGGTTAGCCCCTGACTGGCATCTAGGAACTTGGATTTTGGGAATGTTCTCACCAACCTCACTGATAAAAGTGTCTCACTGTGCCTAAACTGTTCGTGCAAACACTACGGTTTATGCTAAACAGTTTCTTTCCTCTGGGAGTTTGAAATTTTAGTACATGCTATGTAGAGGGTACCTACATGATCTTCCAAAAGAAACCCTGGACGCAGAGCATCTAATGGTTTCCCTGGTAGACATTATTTCACACATGCATTGTCACAACTGGCTGCTGAAGGAATTAAGTGCATCCTGTGTGACCCTACTAGGACAGGACCCTGGGAAGCTTGGGCCTGGTTTCCTCCAGACTTCTCCCCAGTGCCTTTTCCCTTCACAGATTTTGCTTTGCATGCTTTTGCTGTAATAAATAATAGCTATTAGTACAATTATATGCTGAGTCCTGTGAGTCCTCGTAGTGAATCACCAAACCTGGGAGACCTGATGCACATATCATAAAAATTAATTTCCATATGGTCCTATGAGTAAGTCCAAATAAGTGAGAAAACAGAAAAACATGATTTGGTAAAGTATAGGCAACTGAGAGAGTCAATGTAAGACAGTAAGTTGCAAACTTCTTGACTCTTGAATGACCTATCTACAATGACAACTGCTTAATACAGGCATACCTCAAGATTGCCTACAACTATGAAGAGCAATAAAGCAAAGTGCAATACAATGAGATATGCCTCTACTCCAGCCTATAGGAGTAGACATATACATATATAGTTTATGATTCAAAATCAATCTCTCTCTCAAACATATACACACAATTCATAAGCAAACATACACAAAATACCCTTATTTTCAGAAGAGGAAATATTTTAGTCTTTTTAAATCTAGGACTCTAAACTCAAATAGCCAAACATTTAAAAATCTAATAAGCATTCAAACTACTAGTAAGAATATTCTTTGAAAAACTTAACCAAGCCAAAACCGGTTTGGCTCAGTGGATAGAGCGTCGGCCTGCGGACTGAGAGGTCCCAGGTTCGATTCCGGTCAAGGGCATGTACCTTGGTTGCGGGCACATCCCCAGTGGGGAGTGTGCAGGAGGCAGCTGGTCGATGTTTCTCTCTCATCGATGTTTCTAACTATCTTTCTCCTTTCCTCTCTGTAAAAACTCAATAAAATGTATTAAAAAAAAAAAACTTAACCAAAATCTTTTTCCTTTCTTAAATTTTAAAATAGAAATAAGTAAAACAAAACATAAAAACCCTTTCTGCCCAACCAGCGTGGCTCATTGGTTGAGTGTCAACCTGTGAACCAGGAGGTCACAGTTCGATTCCTCGTCAGGACACGTGCCAGGATTTTGGGCTCAATCCTCAGTGGGGGCATGCAGGAGGTGGCCAGTCAATGATTCTTTCTCATCACTGGTGTTTCTATTTCTTCCTCTCCCTTCCTCAAAACAAAAACAACACAAACAAACAACAAAAAACCCCCACCCTTTCTAATACTTTAAGAATCTTGGCATTTCAGCAATTTGTAGTTATAAACCAAATATTACTGAAAATCAACTGACACTGTCAAACAGAACAATAAAAACCCCGCAATTGGCACCTAACAATTAGCTTATAAAGGCACAATCCTATATAATAAAGAGTTAATATGCTAATTAGGCCAAACAGCAGAACGACTGTCTGGACGAAGCCCCTTGCACGAGTTTCATGCATGAGGCCTCTAGTATAAACTATAATTAACATTCATCACTGTTTTAGAAAAGAAATGCCTTTTCTTTCACAAATAAACTTAATACTGTGTACTTCTGAAAGTGTAGGTTTTAATTTACAACTACTACAAAGTTTTTACTCTTAGAAAGTATGCATTTGAAAACAGCTTTCTTTTGAGCCTAGATCTAGACACAAAGGAAATAAAAAGGCAAATTATTTGGATGTCTAGAATCAATTTAGTCTTGAATTATCTTCTTAAGTTTGAGGAATTGTTCTGGGACTCAACACCAGAAAAAGTATGCTCTCTTAAGGAGTAGATACTTTTCCTCCACATTTTAAAGAATGAGAGCATCATGAGATCACTCATCAAATTAGCACTCATCAAGTTGGTTTTGATCTTGCCCTATATTTTCACTTACTACTATTTTTTACTTTTATTTTTGCTACTGATACAGGGAAACTCAGGGTCAAATCTCTTATATACTACTAGAGGCCCGGCACACAAAATTCATGCATGGGTAGCGTCCCTAGGCCTGGCCTGCGATCAGGGCCGTTCTTCCCTGGCTGCTGATAGTTGGCCCTGCCCGCCGCCGTCAGTTGTCTTCTGTGTGTGGGGCACCCAGCAGTGTGATCATGGCCCCACTTGCACTGCCTTGGCCTGGCGCTGCCCGCCGCCACCCACCCTGGTTCCCTGTTCCCCATTGGGCGATCGGAGCCTGCTGGCTGGGGGAGGGGCTGAGAGGTTGGCCAGCAGGCCCCCATTGGGTGATCGGGGCCAGTGGGCTGGGGGCAGCTCCTGCATTGAGCATCTTCCCCCTGGTGGTCAGTGCACATTAGCGACTGTTCGTTCCCCTATCCAATCTATTTGCATATTATGCTTTTATATATATAGATTTCCTAATTATATGTTATCCTCTGACTTTTTGTGTCTTTTTTAAGTGCCCATCACTGTCATTACCTCAAATCCATTTAGAATGGAGCAAGGTAAAAATAAAATATTATGGGGATCATTTTGGACTTACAAAAATTTTTATAAAATAAAAGGCATCCAAATTGGAAAGGAGGAAGTAAAACTATCATTATTTGCAGATAACATGATATTGTACATAAAAAACACTAAAGACTCCATCAAAAAACTACTAGATTCAATAAATGAATTCAGCAATGTAGCAGAATACAAAATTATGGCATTGATGGCATTTTTATGCACCAATAATGAACTCTCAGGAAGAGAAAAACGAAAAAACAAAACAACCCCACAATCCCATTTGCAATTGCAGTGCAGTGCTGGTGGCATAGTGGTGAGCACAGCTGTCTTCCATTTACTACTGCAACACAAAAATTAAGATATTTAGGAATAAACTTAACCAAGGAGGTAAAAGACTTGCATTCAAAAAACTATGGAATGTTGGAAAAAAGAGATAGAGAAAGATATAAACAAATGGAAGAATATACCATGTTCATGGATTGGTAGAATCAACATCATTAAAATGTCCATACCACCCAAAGCAATCTACAGATTCAATGCAATCCCTATTAAAATACCAATGGCATATTTCACAGATCTAGAACCACTGCTACAATAATTTATATGGAAACAAAAAAGACCCTGAATAGCAGTAGTAATCTTGAGAAAGAAGAACAAAGTTGGAGAAATTAGAATACCAGATATCAAGTTATACAACAAAGCCACTCAAAACAGCCTGGTACTGGCACAAGAACAGGCATAAAGATCAATGGGACAGAACAGAGAACCCAGAAATTGACCCAAACCATTATGCTCAATTAATATTTGAAAAGGAGGCAAGAGCATACAAGACAGTCTTGTCAATAAATGGTGCTGGGGAAAATGTACAGGTATATGCAAAATAATGAAACTAGACCACTAACTTATACCATACACAAGAATAAACTCAAAATGTAAGTTGTGAAACCATAAAAATCTTAGAAGAAGCCATAGGCAGCAAAATCTCAGACATCTCTTGCAGCAATGTTTACTGATACATCTCCTAGGGTAAAGAAAACTAAGGCTAAAATAAACAAATTGAACTACAGCAAAAGAAACCATCAACAAAATGAAAAGGGAGCCCACTGCATGAGAGAACATACTTGCTAATGATACATCTGATAAGGGGTTAATTTCCAAAATATATAAGGACCTCATACAACTTAAAGGAAGATAAACAATTAAAAAATGTGCAAAGGACCTAAATAGACACTTCTTCAAAGCGGACACAGAAAAGGCCAAGAGACATGAGAAAATGCTCAAAGTCACTAATCATCAGAGAGATGTAAATTAAAATGACAATAACATGCATCCCTATGTTCACAGCAGCTCAATTAACAATAGCTAAGATTTGGTAACAGCCCAAGTGCCCATTAGCAGGTGAATAGATAAAAAAAATCTGTGGTACATTTACACAATGGAATATAATGCAGCTGTAAAAAAGAAAGAACTCTTATCATTTGCAACAGCATGGAGGGACCTGGGGAGTATTACGCTAAATGAAATAAGCCAGTCAGAAAAAAAGATTAAGTATCACATAATCTTAAGTCCACTTGTGGACTCTAATGAACAAACGAAACTGATGAACAAAATTTTTTTAAATAAAAAACTAATATTATCTGTTTTAATATATTTTGTTACCGTTATAAATGCCAGAGCTAGGGTACAGAGCTAATGTGTACTTATTGACATAATTTTTAACTCTTTTGAGAGGCTGCTAGTATTTCAGAGGAATATCTATAGTTATCAAAATCCATATTAATAAGAAGCATGCAATGAGTCGAATTTTAAAATCTTCTGTAGCAAAATAAAGAAAAAGAAAGAAAAAAAAGTTTATATATATATTCCTAAAGGTACAGTGTTAGATGTTATCAAGGTCTATTCAAGTAGTTTAAATCTAGGAGGAACCCTGAGAAATTTCTTCTAAATATCATCATTAAAACAAAAATAAATGATGACACCTATATATCCATGATTTAGATTTAACACTTGTTAACTTTTTACTATAAAAAATTACTTTTCAACATAAATGGAAAGTCTTTTTGTAAGTGTTCCAAAATTTATCACAAATGTTTTCCTTGAATTAACAGTACAAATTCTAAACAGCAAAAACATTAACTTGTTAACTCATCAGCCAATTCACTGGGGAGAAACTATTATGAAACCATTTCCCTATTTTGTTACAACAAATTAGAAAAATGAAAAAGTTACAAATGTTGGCTTACAAAGGCCTAATTTTATGTACAAAACAACCAGATGTCATTGGCAAAGAATGACTACACATACATAGAAAAACTAATAATGAGCACAAAAATGGAAATGCAGTAGAGAAATGACTAAAAGTGTTAAACATTTTCATCACAGAAAAGAAATGTTAAAAGTATTCTATAGTATCATTTCCAACCTGGCTGAAACACTGAAAAGGAGATAGTGACCATGGTGCATTTTAAAGGGAGGTAGGACACAAAATATGCTACTAGATGACTTAAGCCAAATTCAAAACAAATACGCCAGAGGTTGAAACTGCCAAAACTAAGTTACTAATTGCATCCCTGCTACAGCAATTTGATGATGAAAGAAAAAAAAGCTATATAAATAATTACAACCAATGGAAATAAATGGCTCAAAAAGGTACTTTTATAGTGCCAGTGGGGGCAGGACAGTGTAGTACATAGTGCACTTGGGAGCCAAATTACCTGTGTTGGAATTCTGGGTCTGGTCCTTGGGTTCTTCATTAGTAAACTACATAACAAAGTAAGTTAGAATCTGACAAATGGTAACTAGTGTGTCCTACCACAGTTAGCCCTTTCCTGGAGCTATACAGATTTTTTACTGCATAACTTAAATGCAAGATAGAGAAAGGGGCAAGACCAAATTCATTCAAACATTTCCTCTAAGGCGTAACATTTGGGGCTGAGGATAAAAGATCAGGAAAACACAGTCCTTCTCTCGAAGAGCTTACAACTACAATTTGACAAGGAAAAAACCAGAGGTTAGACCATAAGTCAGGTTTTTTTTGTGTGTTTTTTGTTTGTTTGCTTGTTTGTTTTTGGAACAGGATAAAGTCATTTTATAATATTTGCTTAAAGCTTTAAAAAAGGGGAAAAACCCACATTTATGCTAAAAGTTGTTGAAAGTAATCTACAGTGACAACTGTAATTTTAAAATAAAATCTAGGTCTGCAAGAATTAGCACAAAGCTAAAATAACCTGGAGGATGTCACTTCAGGCTCTGCATTTTCTCTGTCCTGCAAAGGAAGGAGAAAGAGAGCAGGTGGGTGCTCTAATGGATTTCTATCTTCTACTACAAACAGCAAGGTGGGTGTATTTGACTTGCACTCTTTTGTCCATAAATAATGCTCCCCTATAAGGCAAAAGAACACTTAATGAAAGCAAAGCCATTGTTCCTTGAGTTTTTAGTTATTCATAGGAGTACTCTTGCCCATTTATTCCTTCTGTGTATCCATTAATTAGTCACCTCTAACACAGACCCATGATCTCCTTCCTATGAGTCTCAAAAGGCAGGAAGCTATATTAAACTACATAGAAAGAAACACATGTTTAGGTTTCTATGGAGTTTAAGAACAGACTTTACTAAAATATTTAAAACACTGTGGCCAACAAAGATTTACTATTTTCAAGATTCAATAAAAATTTTTGTGTGTAGTGGAAGAAAGGTGAGAACAGTTACTCTCCCATGTGAAGCGGTACTCAAAATTCTTTTTTTAAAAAGTAATTTTCTTCCAAGAAATGTTTGTTTGTTAATCCTTACCTGGGAATATTTTTTCATTGATTTTTAGAGAGAGTGGACGGGAGGAGGAGAGACAGAGAAACATCAATATGAGAATGACGCATGGATTGGTTGCCTCCTGACCTGGATTGGGCAGGGATTGAGCCTACAACTGAGGTACCTGCCCCTGACCAGAATTAAACCTGAGCCAAACTGGCTAGGACTGTACTCAAGATTCTTAAAAATGTTCTCTGAATGACACAAGGTCTACAAGGCTGGTATTTTCTGTATCCTGGGTTGTCTCTGTGGGCCTGGATCAACTGAAAGGTTCACTAAGCTTGTGGTAAAAAATACTTGCCATTATTCAAAGTTCAATAAAATAACAGTAAATATTCCAGGCATTAATGTGACATACTTTATTTATAGACAACCATAAAGAATTATTTTTAAAACTCTTGCCTATCAATAAGACTCTTAATGGGAGAGAAAAAATCTTATGGTTAATATTATATATAAAAATGTAGGAATTTCAAGTGCAGCGTAGGCATGGACTCAGAAGGAAATTACAAATCTTTAAAGATTTTCAAGAATTAGAATGTGTTTTCGTGAAATTTAACTACAAAACCAGCTGCAAGAGAAAACCATTTAACAAAAAGAAAACCAGAGAAAGATAAATATCACATAATCTCACTCATTTGTGGATTATAATGAACAACATAAACTGATGAACAAAAACAGATCCAGAGAGTAGAAGCATTGATCAGATGCTCAAACCTCAGAGGGGAGGGGAGAGGAGGGGAGGGGAGAGAGGGTGGGGGTAAGGGGGAGAGATCAACCAAAGGACTTGTATGCATGCATATAAGCCTAACCAAGGGATACAGACACCAGGGGATGAGGGCATGAGCGGGGGAGGGGGGGCAATGCGGGGATAAGGACACATATGTAATACCTTAATAAAAAAGAAAGAAAAGAAAACTAACAAAATGCTCTTGGTGGCTTTGGCTAGAGGAATAAAGCATATTTTGACACCCACTCTTCCTCACACACAGCACAGGCATAACATCTTTAGTCTGAGCCCGTGGACTATCACCAACATGGCTAATGGTGTATCTGTATTTCTTCGTGTGAGGCCCAGAAATAGCAGAGATAACAACTGAGACAATGAAAGGAAACACATCCTTGGAGATTAATTGGACAGGAAGAGTTTTATTAATCAACTCCAGGATGGATTGATGACAGAGAAATGAAGGGACTAAATGAAGTAGAATAGAAGAGTTCACATTGGGCAAGAGCCAGGATAAGGAGCTGAAAGAAAGAAATGAAAAAAGGCCATATAAAGTTAGAGAGAAACACACCTCCCTTCTTCCATACCAGAAGAAGAGCAAAAATAGTATAATCTCATGTTTTTTCAAGTCTAAATAAATTATAGTTACTACCATAAACAAAGCTACAAAGGCTGTCCTGCAAAGGAAGGAGAAAGAGATGCTACTGGGATGCTACTGACATGTTATGTATACAACTAGAGGCCCGGTGCACAAAAGTGTTCTTTTGCCTTATAGGGGAGATAGGGGAGAATTGATTGGCTGGCATGGCTCAGTGGTTGAGCGTCGACCTATGAACTAGGATAGGAGGTCACAGTTGGATTCCCGATCAGGGCACATGCCAAGGTTGTGAGCTCAATCCATCCCATGTGGGGTTTGCAGGAGGCAGCCGATCAATGATTCTTTCTCAGCATCGATGTTTCTATCTCTCTCTCCCTTTCCCTTCATCTCTGAAATCAATAAAAATATATTTAAAAAAAAGAAAGCTGCAGTATATAACAACTAACAAAAATTCAGAAATTTCTCTCTGTATTATTAAATTTTTATCCTATGTGTTTATTCTAAGAAGATTTGATACCTGGAGAACTAGTGTACCAAATCAACTAAAATAGTAATAAAAGAACTCTTGGATTTGAAAATTAAAATAACTCCCCAGTAAAATAAAAGCAACATTTTCAATTTTGTAGTTCCTTGTTTTAAGGAACATTTGTTAAAACCTCTGGGATTAAAAATGTGTTACCAAACTGTATAGCACTCTGGAAAAAAAAAATGTTGAAATATTTTCTAATATTGTTTGTTGAAACTTACTTCAAAGAGATGCTGCAAAGGATTGGACTGGAGCTTTTCTTCATAGCCAAACAGTTGGAAGCCAGTCCCCAGAAGACCTACCACAATAATCCATAAGTGAAAACATTATAAAATGGAACAGTAGAGATCAGTCATGGCAGGGAACAGGTATAGTTCTACAAAAAGATTAATCTCCCATAATTATGTATCTTGAACATTGCAAAACACATGCTATCACTTGCTACCCAATAAACCGACACAAGTCAAATTCAATATATTGAATCACAAGTTCAATATATTGAGTTACTGAAATTAACTTTACAGAAACCAATAGACTATGAGCTCATCAAAGGCAGAGGTAAAAGTAATTTATCTTTGTACTAACAGTGCTCAACACTTCCCTAGCAAACGTAATAAAAGTAGCATTTGTTGAGCAGCTAACTCTGGGGAAAATCAAAAATTGCCCCCGCTGGACACTGGGCACTCAAAATTTGTGAAAACAAACTGATGGCAAGTGACTTCAAAACTTCCTTTTTAAACTTGTAGCTGTTAAAATAAAACAAAGGTAGGAATTCTCCGGATATTATATCACTTCTTACACAAATGATGAAAACAGTAAAAGATAAAACTCAAAACACCCCTGGTTACTTCTCTCATTCAAGGTGACCAAGCAACGAAATTCTTTTATTTGGCCATATTTTTGCCATTTGACAATTTTTGGGGGGTAATCTTTGGTGGGAAGTTCAGCATTCAGTGACAGTGTTAGTTTGAATCCTTTTAAAAAATAGTAATTAAAGTTTATAAACCAGCAATGAAAATGCCTAGTATGGAATGTGAATATTTATACTCTTAAAATATTTTGCTAAAAGATAATCACAGTTTCAGTTTGAAAGGATATCTGCAGCCTGGGGTCAACAGCAATAAAAAGTAGTTTAATTATTTAAAAAAACATCTATTTCTACAATTGTATCAATTACCAAGCTTCAGCTCTAAAGGAGCTACTGCCACTGGGCTTTGCTGATTGGGGTACATTTTTCTACATAGGCTCAGCAGAAAATGGGATGCTATTGACACGTTATGTATACAACTAGAGGCCTGGTGCACGAAATTCGTACACTTGCGGGGGAGAGGTCCCTTAGCCTGGTCTGCACCCTCTTGCAGTCCGGGAGCCCTGGGGGGATGTCCGACTGATGGCTTAGGCCCACTAAGCCATCAGTTGGACATCCTTAGCATTGCCACAGAGGTGGGAGAAGCTCCCACCATTGCCGCTGTGCTCGCCAGCCGTGAGTCCAGCTTCTGGCTGAGAGGCGCTCCCGCTGTAGGAGAACACTGACCACCAGAGGGCAGCTCCTGTGTTGAGTGTCTGCCCCCTGGTGGTCAGCACACATCATAGTGACTGGTCATTCCACCATTCGGTCATTTGCATATTAGCCTTTTATTATGTAGGATAGGCTGTAGATGAGGCCTCCTAGAACCATAAGAAATGCAAAAAATTCACTGTTAACTCATTCTCAAATTGCCGCACTTAAAATGAAATTGCCCCCGCTGTGGGGCATGTGTTGCACCTTGGGAACCAGTGGGCTTGACACTTTTCCTCTCTGAGCTTCATTTCTGAATACATATGCATATACCATGGGAATTGTAATCTCTTCTCTGCCTACCTCACTGGGTTGTCATGAGGAGGTTCTGAGCTAATACACCTAGAAATGTTTCATAAAGTAAGTGGTGTCTAAATGGGAAGAGATTATTATTTTTAAGTTCACGGGTACCCTTGCAGGTAGCAGGTGCTGATTAGGGGAAGAGGGCATGATTGTTTCCTGGGACTGTAGCTATGGAAGCTTTGCAGAGGGTTCCACAGGCCTCAGAGGGGCGGGTTCTGGCCAGCAGCCCTGTAGCGGTGGTCATCCCTGGAGGTGCTGGCGGGGGGCAAGGCGTTAGGGGGGTGCTAGGGCGATGGTGCGGCTGAAGGGGGAGTAACTGTCAAACCTTCCTGCTTGGCATCATTCTTTAAAATGTACATGGCTGTTTCAAGCTGACCAGCTCAGGGCAGGGCTCCAATCTCCTGGAATGGGGTGGGGGCCAGGCCAGGCGGAGGCAGGCAAGCTAGAAGGGCGGGTTTAGCCATACCTCCAGTGAGGTTCAGTGCACTCTGCCACGGAGACGGAGCTGCTGCTGTCGGGGGGAAGGGTCTGACCCTGGGGGACTACTTAGGTCTGCCTCCACTTGGGTCTGGAGTTGTAGGGAGGAGAGGCACACCCAGCCTCAGTGGAGGGGGCCTGGCAGCAGCGGGCCGTGGGCCCCGGAGGCACTGACGGGTGGTCGCTGGTGTGCTACTGTTGTGGGTGCCTCTGGCGGGGGAAGAGATTGGGAGTCGGAGGTGCGGGCTGCAGCTACCTCCGAGGCTGGGTCTTCTCCCCATCCAGCCAGCCTCCCTGTTCCCCCAGGGGTGCGGGGGCTGGGGCAGAGTGTCCGTCTGTCCCCCTCTGGGTGCAGGGGCTGGGGCAGGGTGTCCGTGCAGGGGGACTGAAAGAGCTCCCGTGGCTGCTTCCTCTTCCTCTCCTCAGACCCCTGGAAACTTGCCTCCAGCTGCCCAACCCCTGCTGCATGCACAGCCCCCTGCTGGTCTGTCAATATGCAAATTGGCTGTTACTGGGACACCATTAACGGACAATTAGCATACTACCTCTTTATATGTATAGATACTTTGGAGCTTAGACAGGAACTAGAAGGATGACTAAAATATGTACCAGCTCTATTCACTTTCTTTTTTTAAATTTTATTTTATTTTTATTTTTTATTGCTTACAGTATTACAAAGGGTATTACATATGTGTCCCTTTTTTCCCCCCGCCCTTGGCAATCCCCTGGCCTCTCCTACCCCTCTATTCACTTTCAAGCAAAAGCAAATATGATTGTGATTCAGGGTCTTGGGAATAAGCAGGGTGTGGAAAGATGCGCAGAGTGTTCTAAAAAACAGAAATAGGAAAAGAAAAGGCCAATTCCATTTAACATTTCACCTAATATATTTTCAAAACCTCTGTGCCTAGGTATCTCTGCCAACTTTCAATAAGGGATAGCTGAAACAACCAAAATTAAAACTCTTCAACAATGACAGTTATAATGGAAATGTTAACAGGTCATTAACCACTGTAGGCCTTTAGAGAAAAACTACAATAAAATCCTGCAGCTAAAATTCCATGAATATCGCCCTAACCGGTTTGGCTCAGCGGATAGAGCGTCAGCCTGCGGACTCTAAGGGTCCCAGGTTCGATTCCGGCCAAGGGCATGTACCTTGTGTGCCGGCACATCCCCAGTAGGGAGTGTGCAGGAGGCAGCTGATCGATGTTTCTAACTCTCTATCCCTTTCCCTTTCTCTCTGTAAAAAAATCAATAAAATATATTTAAAAAAAAAAATTCCATGAATATCATCATCACATATTTGCTAATGCCTGTGAAATGCCTAAATCAGGCAAACTAACATAAAGTAGATACCATCTATTAAGTCTGACTATTGAGCCTAGAGCAGCTGTGGGCAAACTACGGCCCGCGGGCCGGATCCAGCCCGTTTGAAATGAATAAATCTAAAAAAAAAAAAAAAAAAAGACCGTACCTTTTTGTGTAATGATGTTTACTTTGAATTTATATTAGTTCACATAAACACTCCATCCATGCTTTTGTTCCGGCCCTCCGGTCCAGTTTAAGAACTCATTGTGGCCCTCGAGTCAAAAAGTTTGCCCACCCCTAGCCTAGAGCCTAAACCTCTGCCAGCTGTTGTGAACTACAGATAGATTTTTTAAATGCAGGGCATGTTTTCTGATTCCTCCACAATGAATACAAGGGCACTATTAACAGGTTCAAATTTATCAACTGTAAGGTCTAAAAAAGATTTTTATTAACTAAAAGTCTAATATTCACAAGAGAAGGTCCTGATAAGTCTGTCTTTTGAAAGCTTTGATTCCATTTCACTAGACATGGAACATACTATTATCAGTGAACTTTAGAACTAGCAGTGTACACTGCACTTTAAAGAAACTTTAAAATATTACCTAGCCTTTCTCTTGGATTAGGATTGTAAAATACGTTCCAGGACAGTCATTCATCATTCTGAGTGCCTCTTATGTGCCAGGCACTATGGATACAAAAATAATTAAGACACACTCCATGCCCTCAAAAAAACATTGTGTAGCAGGGAAAGAAGGAGAAAAATAAGAAGACAGTAAGACAGAAACCTCTTTGAATAGAGCTGGGTACTAGGAACCTGGTGATGCAAGAAGGTGGGCAAGGGTGTGCCTGGGTGTCAGAATGCTTTAGACGTGACAGTGTAAAGCAGGGGTCCTCAAACTCTGGCCCGCGGGCCACATGCAAATACAAATATTGTATTTGTTCCCGTTTTTTTTTACTTCAAAATAAGATATGTACAGTGTGCATAGGAATTTGTTCATAGTTTTTTTTTAAACTATAGTCCGGCCCTCCAACGATCTGAGGGACAGTGAACTGGCCCCCTGTTTAAAAAGTTTGAGGACCGCTGGTGTAAAGGCTAGATCTTAAAACAAACATAGTAGTTGCCAGAGATTTCTAAAAACTTGCACTTCACATGCTTTCAGTCTTTTCCTGCTTTAGCACCTACATTTACCTTGCCCTTCTTATACCTTAATTTCTGGTGTATATGAACTAGGAATGTTTCTGACTGAACTGGACATTGGAGATCATTTGTGGCACTCCTCTGTCTGGATCTCACTCCTCTTTTCCCTCTAGGCCACAGGCCCAGGATATAAAAATAGATCACTCTTCACATAGAATGGCCCAGAAGGGGCTGTGGTTGACAAGGGTGTATAGACCTATCTTCTTCCCTGTATACGCACTCCTCCATTTAACTCAAAAATATAAGCGATTTTTCTTTAATAAAACCACAAGAGGCCTGTATTATCAGGTGTTTCTCTGAATGTGTGAAGTTTCCTCACCCAAACTTACTTGTGCGGTGAGAATTACTCTAAAAAATAAAATACAAGATTTATGCAAAAGAGCCATTAGGAAAAAAAAAAAAATGTAGGAGTTACTTTTTTAAAAAATATATATTTTATTGATTTTTTACAGAGAGGAAGGGAGATAGAGAGTTAGAAAC